GCATTAAAAGCTGCTGAGGGGTGTCATGGCTCTCTGATGGGCGCTTTGACTGTCTTTGGGAAGAGGCCCAGGGCCCACTCTGCCTTGCCTCTCCATTGTGGTTTTCACTAGTTCTCCAGCACTGAAGGAGTTGTCCCTTGACCTTGGGAAAGCTCTCATCTTCATCCTGACAGAATGTCTGTGTAAGGTATCTCTTTTTGATCTCTGCTCTGAGATCCTGGTGTGTCCAAGAAGAGAACTTCCTCATACTCACCTGTGGGGCTTTCCATGGACCTGTAGCCCTTCTCCTTCAGTCTGGTGACATCAATGAAGAGGCAGAAGTCATCTCCTTGGGAACAGAGCAGGTCCCAGATGTGCCACTTAATCACTGTAAATTCCAGTGGTTCTTCAAAAACCTCCTCAAAGGTCTTCTAGGTGCTGCCAGGTTTCCCTCCAACTTTCTTCCAGATCCTGCTGCAGAGCACTGCAAAGGAAGCAGAAAGCTCGCYTGTGTGGAGAAGACAGAAGTCCTTGGAGTCTGGTTTGCTGGACGCATGGCAGAGATTATTCAGGTGTTTCCAGCTGTGGGAGGGAGCCAGTCCAAGCAGTAGTGCCTGGAAATCAAGAGAGGAGAAAGGCTGGTTGAGAGCACAATCCTTAGCTCACTGGGAGACTGGAGATCGGATGCTGGTGGTGGCAGGATGGRAGCATCTATGGTTGTCTGGTTTCCTTGGCATGATGGTCATGTTCCTGAGCCTTGGGAACCTGAACTGTGTCCCCAGCAGACCTAGGGCCAGCTTGGGTCTGGCCCCAGAGGAGGACAGGGCAATGGAGGAGATGCAGCTGTGGGAGGACCAGGGCTGTGCAAAGCCTGGAGGATCTGGGATGTAAGACCCAGAGGTGGAGATGTTTCTTATTCTGGTAGCCACACCCAGGACCCTCAGGAGCGAGCAGCTGCTCCAGCATCTTTGTCTCCTCCATGCTTCAGCTCCAGGGCAGGGTCCCTTCTCTGGGAGCACGTGATGAGTTGGCACTGAGCCCTTGGCACTGAGCCCCTGCCAACCAGCTCCTGGTGCCAGGAGTTCACATCAGTAGTCTTCTTGACGACACTGGGAGCTCCCACATCACTGAGAAGAGGAAATTTTGGTCCACGGCTTGAGAGGAGGGGTTCAAAGGAATGGGGAGGGGACAGAGCTGCCTTGAGAGGTGATGGAACYCCCCTCTATCCATCCAGGGGACCAGGTGTGGGGACTTGTGCTGGGCAAGGGAATGAGAAACAGCCCTCTTCCCTCCTCTTCCTCTGGTGGCACCCTGGTGTGGCCAGGGCAATGGGGGTCAGGGTGATGTCCACAAAAAAAGTGAGTGTACAGCCAGAAGCTCAGTGAGGGGATCTGGAGGAGTCTGGAGGATTCTGGAGAGGCCACAGGGGCAGCTGATGTCCATCTATACTAGAGYCCCCTCACACAGCAGGTCAGTCATAGCTGAGGGGACTCCATCAGCAGTGGCACAAGTGTSTCTGTGCTCAGTGCTCCACAGAGTCTCCAGCTGCAGCTGTTTTGCACTGCAAACTGACATCTCTGGGACATGTCCCTATCACGGGGCATGGCTTGGTGCTCATATCTGTGCCAGATTTCTGGGCAGGCGATGCAGGATTATTTACAGCAGCAGGAACAGATGCTGACAGATGCTGCAGCTGGATGGGGGGGCACCTGGGTGCCAGGTGAGGAAATTATACCGGGGCAATAAACACAAATAGATGCTCGGGGGAAAAACATTACGTGTACTAATATACTTACATAGTTATATAGTTGCCACATTAACTCTTGGAAAGGATTTTGGAGTCACAGCAGAGCACTTGATTAAAACAGGAGCCTGAGGCACTGCAGAGAGCAGAAGCACAGCGCTAATAATAGCTCTGCCAGCACTGCACTGCTCAGAAGTGGTGCAGGCTCTGGATCCTGCTCCAAGCCCAGCAGGAAGCGTGGACTGGAGTGTTCCTGCCTTCCTGCTCCTGGCAGGTGGGTGCTGTTGGCCACGTCAGGGCAGTGGACACTGGGTTGAGCCAGGTGGGTGGTCTGGTCTGACATCCCTGACCTGCACTGAAGCTTACTTTTGCCATATTTCACATATTTTGGTGCTGAAGCTTACTTTTGCCATATTTCACATATTTTGGTGCTGAAGCTTACTTTTGCCATATTTCACATACTTTGGTGCTGTGCAGGGCAAGTGCTCAAGGTCAGTAGCACTAGACTGTTTCCCACGTTTCTCCTGTTTCGAAGCAGGCTGGTGTCCCTGGTTATATGCTTGGGCAGTGCCCTCTGTGGATGACGAAGTTGTGCAGACTGCCTGGTGTAGGGCCAGCTCCTCATTCACACTAGAGTTTTTAAGGATGGGATAGTATGTACCTYAGCAGCACAGCAGCTGCCTCATATTTTGGTAGCCTGCTCCTTGCCCTCTCTGAGCAGATGCTTAAGGTGTTCCTTTTCAGCTGTGTGCCACAGAGCATTGTTTTGTTCAGGRAGCAGATGATGAACTGGTTTACTGACATGGACACCTTGTTCAGGCCAGGCCATTGTCCTTCAGAACCTAGCAAGGCTTTAGAGATGATCCTGGGTTTGGCTACATTGTGATGTATATGAGCTTATTTTCTTCCCCTAACAGAGGAGATTTTGGCCATGAATCCTGAAGAATCCAGCTCTCTGGATGTCAATAGCAGTGACTTAGCCCTGTGGTATCCCCTGAGTCGGTCTGGCAGGTCAGGCTGGTGCCTTTCTGCAACCAGCTGGCTCTCAGGTGACTAAAGCATCTCTATGTGCTTGCTGGGACTGAGGCTGGGAGCAGCCAGGTGACTTCTCCTCTGGTGGCATCAGTTGAAATGCTACCAAGAACCATTTTGTTTTTGTCTGGTGAACTCAAGGAGTGGAGAAGGAACACTTCTGATGGCAAACACTTCCCTCTGACCTCTCAGAGGTGTGGATGTCTCAGTGTCTCAGTGCCTTGGAAAGGCTGGAGGGACCATCAGGACTGTGAAGTGGGCTTGAGGGGCTGGCTGCGGATTGCCATCTTTAAGGTCCAAACAAAGCAAAGGAATCTCAGATGAATGGCTGACATTCAGACATTCAGGAACTTTGGCATTCCCCCCAAGTCCTTGTTAAAACCAGCCAGACTAGCTATAAACCCACATCAGCATCTCTGGGAGGGTTGGAAAAACTGGAGTGATTCTCTGGTGAGGCATATTTGGGAGCCACCCCTCTGCAGTCCAACCCACCACCAGTCCAGGGGTGCTGGAGCTGTGCTCCCTGATATGTGCAGCATCCCAGGGAATGCTGTGATGGTGCCATGGCACCATCTTGCCTGGAGCAGGATCATGTCTTGCTGCCACAGTGTMCACTTCTGCTGCAGGAAATCCACTGCAAGGAGCTGATTTGGGTTAGCAGGGGCTTGGTTTGCTCTTGAGGCAGCAGTGGCAGTATTTTATAATATGCACTGGGTTGTTGTGCTGTATCATTGATACCACAGTGTCTCAAGTCTCAGTTTGCCTGGTACAAAACCATCTTCCCTTTCTCTCTGCCAGTTCTGGCAAAGGGCCCTACAGCAGCTACTGCATGTGACATCCCCACTCTGTTTTCCTCCCCTGCTCCCAAATCTTCCTCTGCATTTATGCACCTTCTTATACAGCTTTTTTTTTTGTTTGTTTTTTTTTTTTTTTTTTTTTTTTTTTTCATTTGCTCTTGCATAAACATTGTAATGCTGCTTTCCTGAGATGCTCTTGGGAGAAGAGCTCTTGGCTCTTCCTTCTGCATTTAATAATCCCTTTTTGCAGAGTATCAAATAGCACATGTCCAATTTGCTCTGTGGGCAAGGCACCAGACTTGTGTTCCTCCATAGCTTAGATTGCTTGTTCAACRTGATCCAGGCTCTGAAGCTGCCTCTGCAACACAGCTGGAGCTTGGCAGAGGTGATGCTATGCATGGAATGGGAGTCTGAAGGTGCATTTTGGGGGGATATAGCTGAAAACAAAGGGATACATCCTGGTATTTTGAGTTGATGTTTAAGCTAAGGAGAGAGGTGCTTGGTGCCTCTCCCGGCACTTCTCTAGTTTCTTCTCATTGTAAAGATCTTGAGGCATTTTCTAAGCTACAGAAAARCCTACTTTACCCATCTCAAAATATCATTTGGAAATTGTTTTTAACTTCCTGCCCAGATTAGAGGGCTTTAAAAAATATATGTCAAACSCATAGTAAATCAGTTCAATTCAGGGAGGAATGAGTAAAATGAATTAAATATACTTTTTCATTGCCAGTATGTTGGATGATTCTTTGCTGTTTTCAGTCATGGAATAGAATTRGAAAGGTTTATCTGAATTCTTAGTCTGTGCCAAATCTGAGAGCACCCAAAGACAAAGCTAATAAGAGAAACACAACTTGATCTTAAAAATATATAAAAAAAGAATCTTAATAGTGTAAAAAAAGGAGGTTGATGCAAAATAGTCTGATATGAAACCCCCTTTCTTTAAATAATTAATTGTTCCTAAGACAGTGGCATTTCTGCAGGAATGAGCATAAGTGGAATAGGGGAAGTTGAAGGACTGCAATAAAGCAGGCTTCTTTTTTTTCCATCACCTAATAATAACATAAAAAACTCAACTGAAACATATTTATGGTTCAGTCATTGTATTTGAGCTGTGACCTGTGTRCTTAGAGCTTTAATTCCCAAAGGCAGGGCTTTGGAAAGTTATTAAAGTCTGGCCATAAACGATATGAGGTTTTTTGTAATTAACTTTGATGACTGAATTTATAAACTTCATAACTGAATTGAGCAGTGACTCCAGCACAGTGCCCCCAGCAGCACGTTGTCCCCATGTCCCTCGGCTCGCTGGGGTGTCCGCAGCGTGTGCCCGCAGTGCTGCCCGCCGTGGGCACAGGCGGCAGCGCTCTCGCGGTTTTGCTTCCCCTCCTGGCAGCGCCCGCCTTCCGGCCSTACCGGCTCTTACGGAGCTTTTCTGCCCAACGCAGGTGGGGATCGCCGCCGGAGCCGGGACACGCGAGCTGGCCCTGGACCATGCGAGGATGTGGCCGCGCCCTCGCTGAGCTGTCCGCCCCCGCCCCCGCTGCCTGTCCCGCCCGGCGCCATGGGAGGATGCTTCTCCAAGCCCAAACCAGGTGACTGCCRCCGTCCCGCTGTCCTCCTGCTGGAAGTAGGTCAGCAGTGGACGCTGGCCCGGGGAATGTTAATGCTCGGCTCCTGCAGGGAGGATTACTGGGCTCTTAATCCCCCCAAATTCCTGAGCACTCTCACTCCCAGGCAGGGAGCTGTGCGGGGCTGCRGCAGTGCCAGGGTAGGTGGGTGGGAGGGGAGCTCACCCTGCTCCACGAGGGTGGCAGCTCTGCCTCGTCCCATCTCCTTGTTCTTCATCACCCTCCAGCTTCTGCCTTTCTGTCGGATCTGGAGCAGAGCTGCCCCCCTTGTGCCCGAGTTTAGGTCTGGGTGACAGCTGTCCCAGCACAGACACAKGGGGCTCCAGCTCCTTCCTTCTGCCACAGCTTTGCCACTCACTGGCCTGCCCTTGTTTTCTTCCGGCGAGAATGACCTGGGAAGGAGCAGACCAGGTCCTGGGGCTGCTCTGATGTTGAGATTTTATTTTCTTGGTGAAGCTTGTCCTTCTGTGCTGCTTTCAGTGGGGAAAGCAGCTGTAGAGACCTGGACATCAAGGATTCGCCCCTTGCCTGGTGCGTTCCTTCACAGCTGGGCTGGTGCGCTCTTTGCTCTGTGCAGTTTGGGGAAGATTGGGTGTGTGTGGAAGGGGCAGGGGCTCTGATGCCACCTGCCCAGGCAAACTGGCTGGTTGAGGGGGATCTGGTGTGGAAGTGTCAATGGTCAGCCTTGCCYTGAGCAGGCTGGGCATGAACAGACACTGCATGATCACCCATGCTCATCACCACTGGTAGCACCCATATGGCCCCCGCACAGGACTCCAGGGAGCAATGCTGGAGTGTGAGGGGCTGCTGCTGTCTGTGCTCCTGAAGCTGCCGTGGGGGAGAGCTCCCAGCTCCCATCATGGCCCTGTCTGGGCCACCTCAGAGGGTGACCTGACCTTGTCCTTGTTACTTGCTTGTGCCCCAGGACAAAGGGATTCAGATAATGGTGCTGCTCTATCAAACCAGTGAGCCCCCCTGTATAGTCTTTGTGCATGGGAAGATGTCTTTTGGGGACCTTTTCTTAGCAATTTGTCCTGACTGACTGAGGCAGGGGGGATTTCAGGTTGAAAGACTCAACAGGTCAGAAGGGYGATAGAAGTTGTGATTTACTGAGAATCCACGGAGTGAGGTCCCTGCCTTTATGCAAGGCACAGTGAGAAAATAAAGGTGGTTTTCTGGCCTTGACTKGTACTGTGATTATGGTTATGGAGGACAACCGAGTAATATGGCACTGGACAATGTCCTGTAAGTTKTCTCTCTGAAAGCCGTGTTTATATGTTTCCTTGAAATGTTTGAGGAGTAAAAACACATCCAGCAATAAATGCCTTTGTTGACTGAACTTGTGACAAGCTCTGTATCAATTCCACTTTATTTTGTATCCCATCAGCAAAACTGTGTAATATTGGACCAGTGTTGGAATACCAATGCTCTGCAGGCATCTTTCCTGAGCTGCAGATTTTCGTGGAGAGCTGTATTTGCATACAGGGCCAAATGCCTGAAAATGCCACCCTKCAATGCACCTCCACCCCTAGCTCTGCTTTGGATTAGCATCTTCAAAGGCTTTGCACGACCTTCCGCAGCCCCTGGGTAGCTCAGCACTGTGGGCCTTCATCCCAGGCTTATAAAACCTGCAAATGCAAGGAGGTAAACAGAGACATTTGAGGATATTGATTGTTCTAGCAAAGGGTTTGGCATTTCATATGGGAATTGTACAGCATTAGAGCTGAGTACTGGACTTCTTTATTTGTAAGAATTCACCTATTCCCTGTCCAAATAAGTAGCAGTGACAGAATAGAGCTATTTGCTCCATCAGTGCTRTTTCCACATGAAGGGAAGATTTCAGATGCAGCCGGAAGTGAACAGAATTGATTCAGACACTTTTGCAAGGTGTACACGAGGTCCTTGTCTGCTCCATCTCCTTCATTCCAAGAGACACCCTCAGCTGCCCTGACTAAACTCAATATAACCTTGGCATTGCACACGTATCACCTTTTGATGGGCAGATGAGTGGTACAAGAGCTCTGAGGAATGGAGTCCTGGATCCCTAAATAGCTGTGCTGACTGTACCATGGGCCAGCCCCGAGGTCTGGCTGCTGCCGCAGCACCCGTCCCTGTCCATGTATTTCAGTGTTTAATTAAGAGCTTGTGTTAAAACAGTGAAGTAATCTGCTGTTATCTCCAGTGCTGCAGTCCTGTGATGCCRGATCCTCTAATGAAGGCCCAGTTCTCAATCTCTGCATAATTTTCTCCTTGGGTTTGTCTCGGGTGTGTGATGCATGGGGGATGAGCTGCCAGCTGGCAGCCTGCGTGCTATCCCAGCACCCGCTCCGGCAGCACAGCCAGGTCAGGGTGATGGGTGACAAGAACCATTGTGTGCCAGCTCTGTGTGAGCTGTGGCAGCTCTGTCTCTGCACTGGGTATGGGAGAGCGGCTTCAAACCCTATAAACTGTGATTTTTCTTCCTCTACTGRGCTCAGTGTTTGATGGTGGGGCAGAGCACTCGCTTCACAGTCCATGGGGTGGCTGGGGGTGGGCTTTGGCCTTGCTCAGAGAATGCATTTAGCAGGGAATRTGCTCCCTCCCCTGCATCCTGCATGCTGCTGGAGGGTGCTAGAGGGGGTGCCATTGGCTGTGTGACCTGAGCTTAGCTCTGAGCTTGTCCCCAGCCTTGGCTGCCAAAACCTCCTAGTTTTGGACTGTAGTGTTTGCTGGTGGAGCATCTGGAGAGGGAGAGCAGACCAAGCATGTTTGACATGGTGGTTTTGTCATTGGCTGTCATTTTTAATAGAATGACAGAATCRCAGAATGGTTTGGGCTGGAAGGGACTGTAAAGATAAAGCAGTTTCAACCCCCTGCTGTGGGCAAGGACACTTTCTAGACTGCTGGACCAGGTTGCTCCAAGTCCTGTCCAGCCTGGCCTTGGAAGGAGGGGAGAAGTGGTCCCTAGAGATGGTTGGGAGTCTCTTTTGGGACCCCTGTAGTCACTGTTATTGGGCCTTGTAGTTGAGGCTGAGTGGATGAGCCCAGGGGGTGCCTGGAGGGTGCAGCTCTGGCAGGGCATAGTGAGCCCCAGACATGTTGCATGGTGGTGGATTTACTCTGGGCTGCCTCGGGGAAAATGAACTCTCCTGGGATAAACTGTCTGTGCCTCCTGGTCCCTCCAGCATTATCCCTTGATGCTTTTCTGGTTTCCACTGCTCCCAAAGCTGTTGGCACCATACAGCCTGCATTAGACTGTTCCCTTAGTGCTCCTCTGCCCTGTGCCTGGAGCCCCGAAGCAGCGTACCCTGAGGCATTGCAGGGTTTTGGAGTTGGGGAAGGCAGACAGTGCTCTCCCCTTGCCAGCTTAGCTCCTCCATCCCCTATGGCCTAAGTTGTCTAAGGCATCCTCATCTTACCCAGACTGCCCTCAGCTCAAGTCAGCTCTTGTCTCATGTCAATTCTCTCTTTCCATATTAACTCAGTATTTTCCTGGATTGCAACATTTATAAGTATCTGGGACCTGGAGGTACAACCTTTCAATGGCCCAATACCCATAATTTAAATTTAGCCTCCAAAGGGCTCTGAGCCATACTGAGAATACAATAGTATGATCAAGAAGTCTTGGGGCATCTAATTGCCCTAATTTTTAAAAACTAATGTCTGTGACCCTGCACTGCAGCCCAGCCACATGCCAGCACCCTGCCCTGGGATCAAGGTCARTAACTCCAGCCTCACATCTCCAGTGCCTGCCCAAGAGCAAGCAGAGGCTTTGACTTGTCCCACAAGGCAGTGAATAGTGATGAAGAAGGAATGAATTTACAGGAGATGTAATGGGATATTAATATTATTAATATATTAATATATATTAATGCTTGTGTGAATGACATCAACGCAAARCACAAGAACATTGTAGCCACAATAGAAAGACAACACCTGAGCCAATTGTGATAAATAGGATTGGGATGATTCCTGAGTGTATGTGAAGGATCCCAGCAGTGCTTGACCTAAAGGCTGAAAAGCTGGGAGAAAAAAAAAATAGGTCAAAATTTATAGTCTTGTCAAGAGTCTGTATTTTAAATGATTCTGTGACTTTGAGAAGCTGACTCAGGATTTTTGAATTGTGAGAGCTTGCGGTGCAGAAGTATATGTGGATGTGTGATATGAGCACTTGCTAATGCTCAGCTGATTCCTCTGCATTTTTCTATATTCTTGTAAAATATTTCCAACCCTGGTCTTCTGGTCCTTCATCTATTTATGTGTATATCTATAGAGATATCTTAAAAATGTGCATGAACTCACACACACACACACACACACACACACACACACGTGTGTGTGTGTGTGTAAGTGATGTTGGTGGCACATGGCAAGCAGGCACATCTCTGTCTCTTTCTCTCATCTATATCTATACCTATACATATATACCTCTCTATTTATATTTTTATCTATATCATCTATATCAATACCTTTATACTCATACCTATATATCAATATCCATATTTATATCCATATCTCTACCTATATTTCTCAAGAGTTGTCTGTTGTCTAAATTTGTAGTCACATGCCTAAAAATTATCAAAAAGTTTGCTTTAAGGTCCAGACCCTCTTGTAGCAGTTATAGGTTATGACTATCAAAGAGCTGGAACATGCTTGCCCCAGCCCCATTGTACCAATCGGATTTCAGAATTAAACTTGGGTTTATAAGTATTTAATTTAAATGTAATTTTCCCTGATGGCAACTGAACCAGTTTGCTGTATCAGTGCAGGTGCTGCTTAGCTCTGGATTCCTGGAGGGATCATCCCTCGGGAATGCAGGTTTCAGGCCAGAGGGCACCCCATGCAGGGCTGAGAGGCATGAGACAAAGGAGGAAGAGATGGGGGTAAAAAAGGTTGCTGAGAGGTAAGTGGGATATGCCCCTCACAGAGGCAAGTGGTGAAGTGTGGGGCCTGAAACATGAGGGGGAAGACTATACCTCTTTTTCTTTTCCTCTGGACATTTGTCCAGCAGTGTTGGTGGGTGCCAAGTGGGGATGGCTGAGTGCCAAAGACCTGCTGCTTCATGCGTATGTTTTCCTGACTGAGGAAGAAAGGAAGAGCTCAGAGCTACATTTCCATCTTMATCCCTGCAGGTTTGTATGCTTATGAATCAGTGGGCACCCCGTGTACTCGCCTGACCCAAATGTGCTCCGGAAAACAAAGTCCTGGGGCATCAACCAAGTGAGAGATGAGAGTGGTTCCCTGCAGGGTGAATGCACTGATATCCATATCCCTCTCACTATTTGGGYTCAAAGCCACCAGCTTTGCCCAACCTTTGTCTCATCCTGGGACATGGTCTGGCTCCRCAGTCTGGCTCCAAGGTTGCACAGCCACATTTGCTTCAGATTGACTGTGAGATCATATGACATCAGCCTCCTGTTTCTTGGGTCYGAAGTATTTCACTGGGATTGGCATAAATGAGTATTCATTATATTTCCTAATTCTGTCCTGGAAAATCCACGTCTGCTTTTCCCAATGCCCTARGAAAGCAGTGCTTATGGACAGCAGCCTCTTCACTGGGTACCTGCAGCAGCTGGACTGCTGCTCTAGAGCTCCAGGAACAGATTTGCTCATAGCAATGTGGTTTTTTAAAATGCATGATGCTGGCCCTATTCATTTGCTTTAACTCCTGCAGCTGCAAGAGCACAGTAGAAAGTGACATCTTCTGTTGGTTCAGCATTCAYAAGCAGAAAATCGCTTTCCTGAATCTGTCTGTCACTGCCCCTGGTGAGTCCTTGCCTGGGTGAGCACAGAGGTTTGGCACTTTGGCAAAAAGCCATCCATTCCTTGCCRTGCTGAGCTGGCACAAACAGCAGAAACCTGCAGGACTCCTGAGACACCTGCCTGCCTCCAGGGCCTGGGCAGCCATGGCCCCTTGCTTTTCTCTCTTCCAAAATGAACAACTCTGACTTGTTCTTCCATCATTCTCTCAATATTCTTGCAATAAAAGGTTTGGGATAACAGATGAGGTGGGGAAGACCCAGCATCCTTGTCATTCATAAGCCTTGCTGAAGAGCTTGTTTTTACCCTTCCTCTGCCTTTCCTTTACTTGTTTAATTTATGAACTTTRACATTTATCTTCTGCACAGATTTTCCTGTTCATAGTTTTTATAAGATGGGGAAAGCTTAGTGATTTCCCACGTACTCAAGACACTTCACCTGTCTCTGGCACTTTCCCCTGGCTCACTATAAAACTCCCTGGGGTTTAGTATTAATATTAATGGCTTAGCTTTATGAAGTCCCYAGGAGATAAAGTGATATTTTCCTCTTTGTGATATGAGAGCTCATCAGTGGSTCCTGATGCTTCTGTGCCCAGCTTGCCCAGCCCAGGCACGGAGTGGAGGGTGGGAGTGCAGCTGGGTGGGTTCCTGGGGAGGGTGGGTGAGCTCTGCCCTTCAGGGAGCTCGGATGAACATAGAATAACAGAATGATTTGGGTTGGAGGTGGCCTTGAAGTTCATCCAGTCCCACCCCTATCATGGCAGGGACACCTCCCACTGTCCCAGGCTGCTCCCAGCCCCAATGTCCAGCCTGGCCTTGGRCACTGCCAGGGATCCAGGGGCAGCCACAGCTTCTCTGGGCACCCTGTGCCAGGGCTTCCCTACCCTCACCGTAACTTCTGCATGTCCTCAACTGGGTGGCCGAGGAGAGCCCCTCTGCTCCTTACTGTCCCTGCTCCATGTGTCCCTGGACTCTCTGGTCCCCAGGATAAGGATGATTTATTGTCAGACCTATTCAGTGGTGTACACATGAGAAAAATGGACCATCCTTTCTTCTCTCACATATTGCTGAAGAGTCACTCTATGCTCAAAACCTCATGTGGAAATAATTTTGGATATTTCTAGTTTGTTATTAATTGGTCTCCATCTAATGAAGCAGCTTTATGCACCATGCAGTGTTGGCTTTTTCTTTCAGTTAATGTTACCTACTAACAATTAAAGGGGTTTTTGAAGTCTGTCTGAGCCCCAGAGACCTTGGCATGCCTCACATGAAGCTGCCTGAAGCTGTTATCCACTAAGCAGGACAAGAACTGTAGCTGACGGCTTGTTTTGCACCAATGACTCATGTCTGCCTTCAAGAATATGTACTTTATGAATGCAAYGTACCTGATGCTGAAAGAACAGAGGAATAATGGGCTCAGGTAATCAAGCCAAGCTTGATGTTAAGTGTTTTATCTTCCCAATCAAACTAACAAAAAATGTCTGTTTCCAAGTTCAGGGAAGGAAGGAGAGATAGAGCAGTGAACAGCCGCAAAACCTGTGGATTCATTTTAACAAAGGTTTTGGTTTGTTCCTGCAGTTGAAGTGAAAATTGAAGTTGTGATACCTGAGAAGGAGAGAAGCAAGGAGGAGATGTCACCCAATGGGAAAGCCAGCCCTCTAATCTACAAAGTCAATGGGACTGCCCGGCACTACCACCTTGAAGAGCATCCAATTGCCAGCAATCCCTATCACAACCCAAAGGACGTGGTGGAAGCGTCTGTGTGCCACGTGAAGGACCTGGAGAATGGACAGTAAGTGCCCAAAGTTTTTTCAGATAAAACTTGAGAGACCTTTTAARGTTTAAGGGTGGAGCTGATGGGGCAGGTGTTGTGCTCCATCTGTCTGCAGTGCCTGGCTTTTCCAGCCAAGCTCATCGATTTGCTTTTTCAGTAAGGATGCAGCTTTTCAGATCTTTTGCAAATGAGAACACACTTCAGCTGGGCACATTCAGTGCCCTGATTTAATTTTCTGAAGTCTAAAGAGTGCCTGTCCCAGTCATTGTGTTTACAGGTTGGTGCCTCCTTTCTGGGGTAGAAGTATAGGTTCCATTGACATCTCATTGAGCTCCATCTGTATGTAAAAAAATAGTTAGGAATAGCTTTTGTTCCAGTGAGGAAGCAATGTGAGGTGTTTGGGACACAGCAGGAGTCTGGCAGCTGTTTGCTTTAAATTGAAGTATTGCCTGTGATAGTATCCTAGAACAATCCTTGTACTATGGGCTACTTTGTGCTAAACTTAAGGGGCTTAATGGGCCATAAATTCCTTTTGTTAGGTAAGTATTTCCAGGACTAAACTGGATTTTTTTTTCATTGCAATGGGAATTTACGTATTAGACCATTCCCTGTCATGCACCAGCCCCTGGGAAAGTGGAATGCTGCAATGCACTGTTAAAAACTACACAAAAATCAGTGTGTGGTGGGCCCTCCAGACACTGGGATCTATATTTAGTGAAGGCCACATTGCCAGTTAACACCAGAGACTCCACAAATCCAGCTGGCCCTGCCCAATCAAAACTTCCATGTACCAYAGTAGGGGATAAAGGTCCCTGTGGTGCATATGAAGGACAGTGTTATGGAAGCCAATTTGGATCCATTCTGCCTTGAGCAAGGACAAACTCATCTGTGAGTTAGTTTTTGCTGAAGGGCATGGGCTCACTTGGTGGGTGATGCAGAGGGACAGAGAAATATGATGTATCCCTCAAGGAGATTTGACATGTGGAGGTGTGGGTGACCTACTGCAACCTATGCAGGTGAGCTGTGGCAGCAGGGCTGGAGAKGAGCAGGGCAGAGCACAGGCAGGAACTGGAATTTTCTTGAAGGTGGAGTGAAGCAAAAGCGGGAGACTGACTTGGCAAATACTATTTGCACAGGGAGGGTCCTGTTCCAGGGTTAAGATGCAGCCTCMCCTGGTCTATGGAAGGTGTCCCTGTCCCCCTGCAGGGGGTACAATGAGAGGGTCTTTAAGGTTTTTTCCCACACAAACCACCCTGAGATTCTGTGAATAGCTAGACTGACTGGGGAGCAGGGAGTGTGATAAATGAAAAGGTTTGGAGAGTTCTGCTGGCTGCGGGGAAGGTAAGGAGGAGCTGGCAGCAGCCTTTGAGAACATACGTGGCTTCAGGTGGCCATAGCAGGGAGYTCCTGAGCTAAAGCCAGGGCTAGGAATTGGCATCAGGTGCTGCAACATGCTATGAGTCTGACAGCAGGTGTGCCAGCACCAGATGGTTTAGGTGGAGAGCAGCTGTTTTTTAGCAGACTGAGTCCCATCCAGATGGGAGTTCTGCAAGAGGGTCCCACAGCTCATGTAAGCAATGGGCCAAGCCAGAGGAGTCCCCTGGTGCTGGTACCCAGAGGGATTTCCCAGGATGATTCTGCCAAAAAGTGTGCTGGGCAGGGGTGTGCCTGGGCACGGCAGCAGCTCAGGGTGCTGGCACGAGGCTTCCAGCATTGCTGCCTTGCATTAGTAGAGTCTGCAAGGACAGAGGATGCTTTCTGCCCAACTTTTTCTGTCTTTCTGCTACCAGAACGGCCTCAGCAGAACTGACATCCAGAAAGTTACTGGAGAATAAGCTAGTGCTGCTCTACCCAGCCAGCCTCCCACAGCAGGCAAACTGGAGGGACAGAAAACAGCCCCCAGTGCTCCCACAGCTCTCAAGCAAAGGTCCTTTGCCGGCCAGAACTGAGTTTTAGCTGGTGCTTCCCTAGTGGGGAGTGGGGTGGGATAGCATGACAAATTCCCARCTGAGTCAACAAACTCTGCAGGGTGCAGGGCAGTGTAAATCATTCTCTGGATCAGTCTGGAGTGAGTGCAGGATGGGAGCCTTACAGGTGTCTGTGTACTGCCTTGAAGACGCCAGGTCTTGTTTTTGACTCTCTMACCTCACACACCTCCTTGGCTAAGCTGTAAATTCTTTAACTTATCTTATCATATCTTCCCAGAGAGTTATGGTCACCATTGAACAGGTTTTATCAGCTGAGGAATGCAGCAGGACTTGTACTGCTCCGTTCCCTTTGTGCGGAGGGAAGAGCTCCAAGTACCAAGTGTTCAACTTGAGGAGGAAGCAGAGCTGCATCTCCGAGTTACTGGGGTGAAGGGTAGGCATGGTGAACTCGGCTGTTTTTCACYCAAGGTGGCAAGGAAATGGGGAAGTTGAGCATTTGTCATTGGACAGTTGATGCAGGTGAAGCACCTGCCCCACGTCTTGTTTRAGGTGTGTTTGAAGGTTGTAACAGGAGTGCTGGCGGGCACAGCCCCRTTCTCGTCTCCATGGCTGTGAAGCAGTGGGGCAAGTGTCTGTGTAGCCTGGGGGCAAGTAATGGGATAGAGYTGGGATGTTATCTGAGAAGGAATGAGCATGCAAAGTCTGCCCGATTCTTCTGAGACCCTGGAACCAGGCGTGCATGAACAGCACTCCAGAATCACACATGGACAGTGACTTCCTTGAGAAGCTGGGGGTTGCTACAGGCACAGTGATGTGCTTGGCACCCCAAAGGCAGCAGTGCTGGGATAGCTGCAGAGATGGTCCTCTGCATGCAGTGGGCACAACCAGGATTTYGAGATAAACATCAAGCCGTGTGGGGATAATTTTTCTGGCTGGAAGAGAGGAAGTCTCTGGGGAATAGCAACGCTTTGCTTCCTGTCCAGCTCCATACAAAACAAGGGCTCTTTCCTCATTTCCATTTCTTTCCTCCATGGTTAGCTGGAAGATTCTGCACTGGGGAGGAGCTGCTGATAATTGCATTGGAAAGAGGTTCAGTGCCTCAGGCAGACCATGGATTGCAGAGGGTGTATTGGGGCTGTTGGTTGGAAAGGGAGCATTCAGAAGGTGAGAAGAGACAGCATGTGCTGGTGGACCAGTGGAGGCATAGTGAGAAGGCAGAGAGTAAATACCTGCTTAGTGCATATCAGCATCAGTGTCACTCAGCAATGCTTGGGCACTGRTCTGTAAAGCTGCAGAAATGTCTTTGGCCAAGGTCTGGGCAGGTGGAGGAGTGGAGGCCTCAGTGCTAGAACCTTCTGCMCCCCAGTCTCCAGCCTGCAAAGAGGATTAATGAGCAGCCTTCTGGGAATGATGGATGGTTGAAAGACTGGTGTTCTAGTGGATAGTGCCGCTGACCAGTGTAACGTGGCTACCAACATGAGCCATGTCTGTACACAGTCTGCAGGGCATAGGAACAGTGGCAAATACAAGCACATGTTGAAGCTGCAGTGCAGAGCCTGTGCCCAGCCAGACTGCAGCAGGCAGAGCCAGAGTCACTGGGTACCAGAGGAGGCAAAACATCCCTGGAAGATGCTGTGGGTAAATTCACCTGCACTGCAGCTGGTGCAGACGTGTATTGCTCAGCTCATCCCTGCTGGGACAGAGGTCTGTGAAGCACCTTTTGGACAACCCAAAGGCAGTAGAAAGGATTTTCTGAAACGCTGCTTTTCAGTGCTAATGGCATCATCAGTTGTTTATTCAGCATATGGGTGTGCTCAGTAGCTCTTTCTGGCTTGCAAATGAGGTGCATGATCAGCAAAGAGATGCTTTTAGCCAGGATGGGGCTGAATCTCAGCCTGGCTTAGCTGGTCAAGGAGGGCYGTGTGGCCCAGTGAACCCAAAAAACTGCCAAGCTCAGTGTTGTAAACAATTCCTGCTGTGCTAATCGTACTTTGGTYCAGAGTGCCACTCCATGGAATCATTGAATCACAATGGTTTGGCTTGGAAGGGACTTTTAAAGGCCRTCTGGTCCCACTCTCTGCTGTGGGCAGGGGCAYCTTCCTCTAGACCRGATTGCTCAGAGCCCCATCCATAGAATCATAGAATATCCTGGGCTGGAAGGGACTCACAAGTACCATCCAGTCCAACCCCTGTCCCTGCCCAGACCCCCCAACAATCCCCCCTGTRCATCCCTGGCAGCGCTGTCCAAACGCTCCTGGAGCTCTGGCAGCCTCGGGGCCGGGACCATTCCCTGGGGAGCCTGGGCAGTGCCAGCACCCTCTGGGGACAGAAGAACCTTTCCCTAATATTCAGTCTGATTAATTAATGCATTCAGTGTTCTTGCTCTATAGARAATCCAGGAATATGATTTCTCCAGTATCCTGAAATGTTYGTGGCACAGGTTCATAAAGTTCCCTTGGTAATTGTTCTGTACTTCCATTTACTGTCGATRTGTTTGGCTGAGGCATCAGTGAACCAGACACCTTTAACTTCAGAGTGTGACACAACTGCAGGAACATCAACTACAGGACTAGCTTAATGTAGCTGTTGCAAAACCAGCAAATCTGGGATCATGGCTATCTGTAATTTTGCAATTTTCACTGGCCATTCAGTTATACCCAACTGATCTGTGGCTCCTGAGACACATGAGATAATAATCCCTTTTCCCAAAATTTCCCTTTAGTGTATCTCTTCTCAATATCTTTCAGTGCTGCGGGACTGAACCCTAAYGGTTGTTTGGGTCTTTGTGGGCCTTTCTGGAACATGTTACAGGAATTCCCATGTTCAGCAAAACCCCATTCAGCTATTATGGGATCACTGGGATGAACTGCCGCAAATGATTAATATATTTTTAACTCCTCTAATTAGCRTTTGCAAAGCCTTTTGTGACTATTAAGCCACTCCCGCTCCCAAGTCTGGCTTTTGCTCATTAATGAATTCAGTGGTGTTGCTCTATAGAAAAYCSAGRAATATGATTTCTCCAGTATCCTGAAATGTAACCATGAAGATCAYGTCTTTTAGATGTAGAACTGCCATCCATTCATGTGCAGCTGCTTGCAGGGTGGCATTGTGACTGGCAGTGTTTGGGATGAGTTATCCTATGTTGGCCATATTATTATCAGCCACCAATAATCAATCATTATGCACCAGCTCATGTCTGGTTTCCTCACTGGCCAAATGGGAGAATTACATGGGGTGTGTGTCCTAAATATAATACCTCTTTGTTCTAAATTTTTAATAGATTAATTTTCTGTTTTATCCAGAAAATTTATTAAATGGAATTTTTGTAGGTCTGGATGACCAAACACGCCTCTTGGGGACTGCCAAACTTTTCTTTTAAGAATATCATATCCTAAAATGTTTTCTTCATGGTCTGTGATTGCAAATGTGTGCGGTCATTTGTTTATCCCCAGCTAAGCATAATTGGACTTTGACAGTGTAACATATAATACTTGGAGTCCTGTTAGATGGATTCTTTCAAAACATAAGTTTATTTTTTCAGCACCTGTGGGGGTGATCRGAGATATTTGGACTCCTGTATTAATCAGAAAATTCAAATATTGTTTTCTAGGTCCTACTGGTAAGTAGATATGGGGCCCATCCCCATCAGACCATTGATAGGTTATAATGTGCTGGGTGAGAAGTTTGCCCAGACTTTAGCATTTCTTTCATGTTTCTGTTAACTCAAAAGGGTTGAGGGGGGCTGTGTTTTTCCTATGGAGGGTTTCTGTTACTTGTGTTCCCCCCATCCTGCACCACTGACTAAGTCTGCTATCCTGCATTGGACTGTCCTCGAGGGCATCACAAGGAATACCTGAAGTCACTGCCATCCTCCACAGCTCCTTTCACTCTGCCCAGAAGTGAGCAGAGTTTGGATCTTTCATTTCTCTTGAATGGGGTATGTTTAAAAKTCCTCATCCAGCACTCTGGAGGTATCTGCATTTAATTTTTTAGGCTCCTCTTAATAGCCTGAGTTTGCTCTCCAATGGTTTTCTGTCTTGGTTTGAGACATTGTTTTCAGAGAAAAATGTTASAGGGTAAAYGTTTCCTCCGAAGTGAAAAAGTTGATAATTTTTTCCCACCAATACGAAATRGATGTTTGGGCAGAAGTGAAGAGAAAAATAGTTTATTAACAAAACAAGGTGCCCACAGGACACAGATAAAAAGTAACTGTTAGATATTTAAAAGTCCAGGAACGCATGCCACCCCGTCCCCCCCATCTGCTCAGCCACCTGGTGTGGAGAAAGGTGGCGCAGCTCTTGTCCTAGGGAAAAAAGAAGAAACAAAAGAAAAGTCYACATGGCCGCTCAGGCAACAGTGGCAACGTGGTGGCAGTCCTCTCCTCGCTGTGGATGAAACAGAGAGCTCGGTGTGCTTTTCTGTCACCATCCTGGCTTCTTCTGGAATCCGGGATGAGGCGGAGCGGCGCGGCTTGTCGCTGCTGGCGCCTGGCTGCACTTGCCTCCTGGTTCTCAGACTGCAGCCCTGCTGATCCGCTCCAGAATATCACACGAGTCGCAGAAGAGATAGCAGTCCAGGGAGAGCTGTTTGCCCAAGCTAACAAACCCAAGCTAGGTAAGCGGCARCAATGTAACTCCCCTGCACGCAGCAAGCAGGACTCCCTCAGCGCTCAGCTGAGCTCCAAAAAGCCTGCAGCAGTGTGGCAGCCCGGCTTTCACCTGCCCGCTGCCTTCCCCGCTGCCCCTGCCCCTTCTTCTGGGTCGCATTTAAAGGCACAGGCACCTTTTGGGCGTAAAGCTGATGGAATACAGGAATACAGAATTGGCACAAAAATCAACCCAAGACATTTTCCTAGCAGATTTTCCTTGTCTGGTTCTCAAACTATCAAAGAATTTTATCCCATGTGGGGATAATCACCTGGGGATCTTGTAAATCTTCATTATGCATTACACCCCTTCTAATTTCATCTCCTCACCCCACTAAACGAATTTTTGTCATTGTAGGGGCTTCTCTCAATAGAAGTCAATATGTTATGACCCACCTCTGTGGAGACTGGAATCTTTCTGTTTTCACATCAAAGCTGCCTTTCTAACAGCAGAGATTTCATTAGGTGACTGCATGGGTATGGAAACTGGTTCTCCTTTTTGCATAACATTTATTCCTCCTGCCCAATATGCAGCCTCACTTGTTACTGGATGAGGTTGATTGGCAGTCTCAGGTTCCATATTTAATAAGACTCCTGGCCCCCAGTATCCCTTAGCTTGAGTTCCATTCAGCAATATTCTAGCTTCCTCAGAGAGACTCACTCTCCACAAATACTCAGTTTCTGACKACCCTGATTTCTTCTATATTTTTTCCTGTAGATTTATCAGTTGCAGGGGACCTCAGGKGATAATTTGGTCCATGTTCCTCCTCTGTCCTCCTTGGGATAATTTGGACCCTTTGGTCTTAATTATGGGTCTCTTTTTTAAATATAGAATCTCTTCCTCTCTAGGAGGTGTAGATTTAATTGTTTCATCACAAYTCCATTCTCACTCATCAGCATTTTCATCAGGGCTTTCCCAAAAATCACCATTTCAGACCTCAGGTGATACAATTAATTTTCACTTTTTTTCAGCATTGTGGGCTTTTTATAATGTCATTTATCATTTTTCTCTGRAGGCTTTTGTCTTTTCCTTGAATTCTTTAACTGTTGCTTTAATTGGTCATTTTGATATTGTAAAGACAGGTGTGCATGTCTTCTGTTTTTTATCTCATGTCTCAGATTGTTAGTTTCTCTTGTAATTTGTTCTCTCTATTGCCATGCAGCCTTTAAGCATCATCCCAGTACATGACATGGTACTTCTTTATKTTTGTCTTCCAGTGACCCCTGTTTTTTATTTAATTTCTCTTTATTTATTTAATTTCTCACATCCTTTCCCACTCACACCAATTGTTGTSTGACCAAAGCTTATCAGTGTCAATGTATGTTCTGTGCCACTGYAAAAGTTCTGTTAAGCCTTTTGTCTCTTTCTCAAAATCGTTTGCCATCTTGCTGACTACAGCAATTTGGTGGAGTAGAAGCTTCAGACAAAGTTTGTGAGAGAAGCTGTTGTTGAGTCAGGAGGTGCAGAAAGGACCCCCTGGCTTTCTCAACTTCTCCAAGAGGAGCCTGGTGTGGCTGGATTCAATCCCAGCCCTATTTGCTAATGGTTTAAGTCTAAGGAATTACAAAGGTATCATTGAACCTTTTGTACAACGTTGTCCTGCAGGCATAAGAATGGCAAACCAGATATATTTATATAAAATGAAATTATTTATTATGATAAATGATTAGACAAAAAGATATTAATCAGAATAATTTACTATACAGGATAAAAGATAAAACTAATATTAGAGTGCATTTAAGTAATTATATTAAAGCTAGAAAAACCCTGCAGTTATGAAGCAGAGATTGACGTCACTTACCCAGACATACCACTGTGGGCAAATCTCCTTCACTCAGTCTGGAGAGTGACCTTGAGGTCACTTCCCCAGGGAGGAATCTCCACACATGCTCCAAGAAGGGATATATTTGAAGAACCTGCTGTTTGYAAGTGGGACAGGACATTTAGAGTAAAAAGTGATTATCAGTCAGATATCTGCAGGCCAGCTGTGCCAGCTTAGCATTTTTAGATAAGGATAYTTTACCATATCTGCCCCATCTTCCTCTTGCTATGAGAATGTTTATCTTTGGAGTTGAGTCAGACTGGATCTAGCATAATTCAACACCAAAGGCGGTGTGACAGCACCACTCAGTTCACCACTGACAGCTTTGCAAAACTGGGTATGGTTAGAGTTGTCTTATGCCATTCCAGCCAGAACAACCTGCTGCAATGCCACTGTCATTGTACAAACTTTTTTCTTATATGTAATCTAAATTGATCCTATTTTAGTTTAGGATCATYCCCCCTTGTTCTGTGAGCAACTGGGACATTTCAAAGAGAACCTGAACCCCTTGATAGGAATGGCTCGAGGTTTGCTGGCTCCTCTGCACAGTAGAGCTKAACCCAGCAGAGCTGGGCCCAGGGGCCTGGTGCTGGCAGGATGTCACTGTGTGAGCTCCACTCTGCAAAAGCAGCTGAGGAAAACATCAAGAAGGTCACACACACAYGTCTGCTGTCCTGAGGGGTTCATCAGGAAAAGTGGTCCTGGAATGTGGCCAGGACCAGAGCAAAACCCTTGAGGTATGGGAGGCAGACCTCAAGTTCAGAGTCACCTCTCCTGATTTTCAGCTTTGCAATGTGTTGTGTTTGATATGAAAGACTGAACAGAAACCTGGCAGGGGCCTGTTGAGCCTCTGGGGTCACAGCCAAACCAGTCTGGTTTATTGCTCCCACTATCGGCTACCCCGGCAGCTGGGGAGGTGCTTTGAGCCACCTCTTAACACAATGATGGATAAATTAGATGCTGCTGCTCAATGGCCCAGCTTAGATGTGCCCCAGGCTGGGGACAGCACAGCCACCGCCAAAGCTGGCTTGGTGACGAGTGACCCACAGCTGTAGTCACCTGAAGCCAGTAATGAGCAGTGGAAGGAGGAGGGAGGGGAGCCTGGCAGGACTCGGGCTGGGTTGTAGGGTGAAGTGGTGSTATCTGCTGTGAGGGGGATGCTCTGCCATCTGTTTCCATATTCCTCCTCCCCAGGATGCGGGAAGTGGACCTGGGCTGTGGGAAGGCTCTGCTCATCAAGGAGAATGGCGAGTTCCATGCCGTGGGACACAAGTGCCCCCACTATGGGGCTCCACTGGTCAAAGGTCAGTCTGCATCATGTCCTGGAGAGCAACCAAGGGCATCACAGGGCAAAGGACAGCCCTGACTGTGCTGCTAAGCATGGAGCAGTGCTGCACTGCACACTCAGCATCACCTGGGCATCTTCTGGCTGGGGAAGGCATGGGCAGCAATCTGGAGTTGCACAAAACTCCCCAAACCAGAACTTTGCCAGCTCTGGTTTGCAGCTGCCACTGCTGATTACAGGTCTGGGGCTTTTTCTGGTTGAGGGGAAAGAGGAGCTGTCTCTGAGCTGATGGGATCCTCTCAGTAGCAAAAAGAATGTTGCTCATGTTATTGATGGAAGTGGGATGAGGTGCAGTGGTTTCCCATCTAAAAATAGCGTATCCTGGCACTTCTCAGCARAGGCTCCAGATCCCTGCCCTGAGCCTAAGCAATGGCAGCAGGCRTTGCTGGCCTGGCTGTGTGCTGATGTGGATCACCCAAACTAGGGTTGGGAGGSCACTTTGCTTGAGGTGGGATCCTGGGGAAGATGGGGGAGCATYCTTCTGAGTGTTCTCTGGGCACTGCTGGCCCAGCAGCCGTGCTGGCTGTAGCAGCCATGCTCTCAGCCTCTCGCGTGGGGCGAGCAGCACCCTGAGCAGGGCAGAGGAGCCCCGTTCTGCTCTGCAGGTGAGAGCTGCCCGCCCTTTCAGAGASCTGTGGGTGAATCCCTCAGACTGTCACACAGCGATCTCCCTGGGGACTTGGCTGCAGCAGTGGGTGCAGGGGCTGCCCCCACACCCCTCATGTGATGGGGATGAGATGTGGCACTGCTGTGCCTCAGCAAGCAGAGACACAAGCTCAAGGCCAGTCCATGGCCAMATGGTGGCCAATGCTCTGCCCTGGCGTTGTGGCAGGGAAAGCTGAGGTCCAAGGTAGCAGCCTGTGAGCCAACACCTAGAGAAACGAACACAAGGCTTGGGGCATGCCAGTGCCTCCCAGCCATGTGCAGGTGCCTGGCTGTGCCAGGGTCTGTCTGGAACACACRTGCTCTAAATCAGGGACGCTCTGCTGGAGGCACCACTTGTTCTGGGTGCTGCTGGGGCTTGTAAGGGTGACCATGAGACCCTGAGGATGGCAGCCCCATGCTGGCTGGGGAGTGAGGTTATACCCAAGGCAGAGCAGACAGCTTTGGAGCTGTGCTTAGAGGTACTGGAGGACATTGCCATCCCAGGGCATTTTAGAAGGGATTGCTCTCCTATGGGATCGAAGTTGGTCCCAAACAGCTGAACCCGCCCAATGTGCATGTTGAGAGAACTCCACTGTTGCCTATCCAGGCTCACATCAACTGCCATGTGTCCTGTATGAGAGGTGCCATCTCAGAGGGTGGGAGGCAGCTGCAGGGCAGCACCAACCCTGCTATGCCATGTTCCCTGCAGGGGTTTTGTCCAAAGGAAGAGTCCGCTGTCCCTGGCATGGAGCTTGCTTCAATATCRGCACAGGTGACATCGAGGACTTCCCTGGCTTGGATAGTTTACCCAGGTTCCAGGTGAGATCCTTGTCCTTGCAGCAGCAGAGGAAACCACAGAATCRTGGGAAGGTTTGGGTTGGAAGGGACCTTAAAGCCCATCTCAATACACCCTCTGYCATGGCAGGGACACCTCCCACTGTCCCAGGCTGCTCCCAGCCCCAATGTCCAGCCTGGCCTTGGRCACTGCCAGGGATCCAGGGGCAGCCACAGCTTCTCTGGGCACCCTGTGCCAGGGCCTCCCCACCCTCCCAGGGAACAATTCCTTCCCAATATCCCATCCATCCCTGCCCTCTGGCACTGGGAAGCCATTCCCTGTGTCCTGTCCCTCCATCCCTTGCCCAAATTCCTCTCCAGCTCTCTTGGAACACCTTTAGGCCCTGGAAGGGGCTYTAACCTCTCCCTGGAGCCTTCTCTTCTCCTGGCTGAACAATCCCAGTCCTCCTCAGGGCTGCTCCCAATTCCTTCATTCCCCAGCCTGCACTGATAAAGGGAATTGCTCCAGCCCAGGTGTAGCACCTTGCATTTGGCCTTGTTGAACACCATGAGGTTCCCACTGGGCCACTTCTCCAGCCTGCCCACATTCCTCTGCACGATCCCTTCCCTCTAGAGCATCAACCACGTCACTCAGCTTGGGTCACCCGCAAAATGACTCTTTTTATTTCAATAGGCAATGTTCTGTATGGTATAGAGCAAACATTTTCCAAGGATGTGCTGTTGTTGCTCCTCCTCCAGCTCTTTCCTCCAGCAGCTCCCTTGCACCCACCCGCAGGCATCTGACACCTGGGAAGCTGGGGGTGCCCAGTGTGGGAGGTCTCTGGAGCAGAGCTGGGGTGGGAATAAGAAACCAGATATAAGTCTGGGCTRGAAATCAGGTGACACACTGAGTGTGGTTGCATGGTTGACCCCACAGCCTGGAGCTGGGATGAGCCCTGCCATGGCCYGAGCTGCTCCCACAGGTGACCCTGTGCCACAACCCCTCGTTCCTTAGCTGTTGCCCCGAGGGAGCCCTTGCTGCCCTGCAAACCAGTGCTATTCTGTCACCTTCAGGTGAAGATTGAGAAGGAGAAGGTGTACATCCGAGCGAGCAAGCAGGTGAGGGCCCCCACTGATATCTGAAAATCAAGGCCAATGCTTTTGTTCAATGCTTCTTTGCTGTATGTGCATGGGAGTGGGGGGAAATGTTTGTCTTTGGTCTTCTGGCCTGGGCACAGGGATGTGTGAGTATCCAGCTCATATGGAGGTACAACTGGAGCAGGGCAGAGCTGTTGTGCCCCYCTCCCTGTGACCCAGCCTCCCTGCACCTGCCGGACCCCAGGCCTGGGCTGTCCATACTTTCAGGTGGTACAGGTGTTWGTCCTGCACTTGTCTGATGTTTCCTTAAGCTCAGAGCAACTTTTAATTCAGTTGGCCCATGGGAAGAGGCCTCTTCCACCAGCCTTTTGGCCTTGTCTGAAGGACAGAGGCCACCTGTGCTCCCTCTTGAGCCCACACCTCAGCTCCTGCTGGAGAGGAACCTGATGCAGGGGTAGAAAGGGCTCTCATGCCCGAATGGGATGCAGAATGAAGCCCATTCAGGCCACTGCCATCTTTCTTTCCATGAAAAGCCTTCTTTTGATGCACAGTTGAATGTACACMTGTGCAAATCCAGTKGCTCAGAGCCCCAGTGGGCCYTTAGAGCACTTGGTTTAGATCCAGAGAGGTCACCTGAATGGCAGCACTTCAACTCCAGCTGATTTGGAGATGTGATGAGGGGCGACTGCATCTGTTTGCTCTACCAGGAACAGATTTTGGCCTCTAATGACTAGGAATAGGGGGTCTGTGCAGCACGGCTGCACTGGCACAGGTCCATGGCTGCAGTCCAGCARATTGGACAAGTCCATCATCTTTGGATATCAGGTGTACAAGCTCTGCTCAGGTTAGGATAAAATTCCTGACAGAGCTTCTTCATGTCTTGCATTTGGTGCAGAATTGTGCAAGGACACACCTGATTTTTTTATTCCCYCACCACCACCCCAGCTCTGAATAGCTGGATAGCTTTGCGGAAGATTATGGATTTATTTTTCTTCTACACCTTGTAAGGGATAGTGCACTGGATTTTGGAATGGTATTTGGATGAGCAGGGGTTTGGAGTCCTAGCTCAACACAAGGGTGTGGTTGTTCCCCTCCTAACCAAGCTGGTTTATGACACTACTGCAGTTGTCCCCACCCCTGCCTGGCTGCCCAGGGTAATGCTGAGAAAAGATAATCACTTTTCTTCTTTTTGGTGGTGACACAGGCTCTTCAGACACAGCGGAGGACAAAGATGATGGCAAAGTGCATCTCCTTGAGCAACTACAACCTGAGTAGCACCAACGTSCTGATCATTGGTGCAGGTAAGGGGTGGCACATTCTGGGACCACCGTGTGTGTCCCCTGCCAGGCAGGGGTGCAAGAAKGGGGTGTCTGTGTGCCCTGCACCCTCTGTCACCCCTCCTACATTCCTCCCTGTTCAAAGGGTCAGCCCAGAGGGCCTTCCTGAACCTTTTTGCCTTACATGCTAATGATCCAAAGGTGCCCTGTGGTCCAGTCTGTGGGGCTTTGTAGTTCCCTGTTGCCATACTTTGGRGTGAACCTCGAGCCCTCTTCCTGCTACTCCCTTCCCAGTTACATCAGCAACCCCTGGTTTCCACAGCTGATGAGTGTAGTCTTTTCAGGTCCCTGTGACATTGATACACCTTTTTCCCTTGGACCTTGCACATCTCATCCCGTTGCAGCTCCAAAGTTCTCATCTCAAGATGCTTCTCTGAAGATAAATTCTTCCACCTTCCTAGCAAATACCAGATCCCAKCCAAAAACAGCAAAGCTGCCAAGGTCTATTTTCTCTTGTCCCAGCTTCATTAGTGTATTGCCATTTTTGTAGAAAGCTTGATGGGGTGAAGCCTATCTATGGAGTTTCTGGGATGGGTCAGATGCCAAGGCTGGGCCATGTTGTTGTGAAACAGAGGGTGGGAAGAGGACAGGCGCTTCTATACCTGGAGGAAACATCTGCTCCTGGCACATAGGTTGTTCCTACTTGTGTCCCCAGGTCACCTGATCCAAGTTGTGGAAATTGGAACCTTCTAAGTTGCATCTCACAGCCTGAGCAGAGGGGAAAACMAGCCTGACTGGCTTTTTCCTTGCTGCTGGGTGACATTTTCCCCTTCCTTGTGCCCTTGCTGTTTGTTGATTGAATGCCAAGGTGGGACATGCTGCTCCTTGAGGTCAGTTAGAATGTTTTGGTGTGCTGCAGGTCTGGAGAGTCATCACGATCCTCAGCGAGGTCACTCCACAGATAACATTAGCCACTGCTGAAGAAAGTTCCTCAGGCTTTACTAGATAAATTTACAGGWGTGTTACAGACCAAAGTCTGTTTTGGTGGACACCAAAGGAGATTTCAAAGCTGTAATTGTGGGGAAAATTGTTAGGGAAAGCCTGCCYGTCTAGCTCTATGGCAGGAACTGAGATCCAGCCATGCCCAGCAGAGCTGAGGGCAATTCACTGCAGCTCTTTGCTCATATGAGGGTCATTCTGACATCAGCACCGCGTCATCTGTGGCTCAGGATGCTCCTAGCAGCATGCACAGGATGTCCACCCACCTGGCTCCTCTTCCACTGTCTTCCCACTCCGTCAGTGGGAGTGTCTTGTTGATGGACCAAACCATTATACGGTCCAGATCCGTCTTCTCTCAGAAGCGTTACAGAATCTGTAGCACTAAAAACATTTACCATGGAGTGAGGCTTCCTTGGCTGAGAAAAGACACCAGACTTCTCACCTGAGCTCTCCAGTCTCACCAGTTCAGCCAGGGAAAAAGGGACATGCCAGCCAGGCTGCCTGGCTGCAGCAGAACAGCATGTCCCAAGGCAGCTTTTTGTTAGATTTAACCTTTTTGTTCTGTGATTAAAACAAGTGAATAAAAAACCCTTAAAGAAATAGCATGGAAAATGCTCTGTGGTGAGTCACACAACCAACACCCTGGCAATGGAGAAGGGAGGGCTACCTTGCCCTCTGTGCTTGGCCATAAATTCATGAGGAGCTGGGTGTGCAGACCTGGCTAGAGAAGTCTGAGGTCTGAGCAGCTTCTTGTGCCCTGGAGATGGTGAGAGGTGTGTAGGCAGGACTCTCAGGTGTGCTCTTTGTGGGTTTGTGACAGCTTAGGGACAGACAAGTGGATTAATTTCACAGTCTGTAGATAGAGGGTCCCTTCTCCTGCCCGGTCCATCTTCTTCAGCCAGCTTCCCATGTGAGCTGTTTGAGTTAGGAAAGGCTGTGGAGTGAGGCCAGGGCTGGTGGAGATAGTGATTTGGAGTCAATGCCAGTGGGTTTAGCAGCCAAGGGGACWGACCTCCCAAGGCCACATACGTATGGCTGTCACTGGTGTCTTTCTCCCKTAGGGGCAGCTGGGCTGGTCTGTGCAGAGACCTTGCGCCAGGAGGGTTTCTCTGACCGGATCGTGATGTGCACCATGGACAGACACTTGCCCTACGACAGACCTAAGCTCAGTAAGGTTTGTATCACTCTGGGTATGCCACATTCCTCCYCAGTTTTAAAATTTGCTCTAAGACATTTCCCCACTATTATTCATTACAGCAGCAAGGTTCTGCTTCCATAGTTGTCCTGTCTCTGTTTCCCTTTAATTTTCTTCCCTCTTTGTTATTGAAATAYGAAACACCAAAAAAGAGTTGTTCAAACTCTGAATTAAGAGTACTTCAGCAGAAAAACAAGGGCATTCTTCCCTGTGTGGGTGGGCAGGCCCTGGCACAGGGTGCCCAGAGAAGCTGTGGCTGCCCCTGGATCCCTGGCAGTGTCCAAGGCCAGGCTGGACATTGGGGCTTGGAGCAGCCTGGGACAGTGGGAGGTGTCCCTGTGGATTGGAATGAGATGAGGCTTTAGTTCCTTCCAACCCAAACCATTCCATGATTCATATGATGATTCTTCACAGATCTAATGGTRGCTGTCTGAGCCAGCTTGTTCCTGGATGGACCTTCTTAATATGTTTCTGGGTCAATATCTTTAAGGCAATGAAACAAAGCATGTGAAAAAAATGGCGTGGTCTACCAGGTTTTCTATTAGTGCCTGTTTCTTGCTGCACAGGGATGCTTTGTGCCATAATTGTGATGATTCTCCACTGCGATCACCACTTGTTAACTTGAAGGAAGTGCAAGGTCACTTATTCTGGCACACATCCCGTTTAGCATTCCACTTTATAGACACTGGATGATCTTCTAATCAGATATTTTTTTGCTGCTGATTCCCGAGCCATCCTTGATGTCAGATAACAGCTCAAGTTGGACAGTAGCATTTGACCTTGGAGCTTGGAGACAACATAAGGTGAACTATGTATTCATCCTCATATCAGGAGTGCTTATCCATGGGGACTAGTACTCTACAGTCACAGCATCTAACTCTGCTTCCAGCACTCAAAAAAGAGATTTTCAAAGACAGACACATCTGCACATGGCTATTTGGGAGTATTCAGGCCATTTCCATGCTTCTGCAAGTCCTGCCWGGGTGAGGAGCAGCTGCCTGAACCTGCATCCAAGCATCACAGGGGTTGCGCTGGGGAGCTGAGATGGAGTCCCTTTTCCAGCCAGGCAGCTGTTCCAAACATTTACCCCATGTGTGAGTCGTTGACTCTTCTCTCTGTAAAATAGTAAGAACATTTCACATGCCAGAGATGTTGTACATGGTTTGTTAAATTCTCCACCAAACACCTCTGGCTGTAGCTGCTTTTGGAAGGTGCACAAAGTCCATGGAAGAGAAGGCAGATTTTTTGGGAACAGGGTAGAAAAGAAAGGATTTTTTCTTAATCCTGTTGTAAGTGGGACTAACCCTGTACAAGCTACTGGAGAAAGARTGCTAGGTCTGTAAGCAGCAGAATTCTTTCTCCCTGAAATGGCAGCACTGCCCTTCCCCTGTCCTGCTGGATGTCTGTTATCAGCCTGTCCCCAAGTCCTGTTGGACTGTTCCTCTTTGTCCTCTTTGGACCATAACCTGCTCCCTGTGTGTTGCCACATCTCATGTCATCCCCAGAGCACCAAGCAGCAGCAAAAGCTGTGGTGGTTGAGCTCTGCTCTGCCCTCCCTGCACACTGGCACAGTGGGGTCAGGTGTTTCTCTCAGTAAATGTGGAGTATCTAAAGGATTTGCAGTAAAACCTGTATGGCGCTGCCCCTGCCTCGAGTCCTGTGACACGAGTCTCTCCTGAGCAGAGCATTGTCTGCAGTCAGAGCAAGGGAGTGTCCTGCAGGGCTGATTCCAGCCCCTGACCAGGCTGCCTCCGGGGAGAAGGWCCTTGCACATACATCCTTGTGGGAGAATGGCAAAGCCCTTGATTCCTGCATCCCCTGTCACTCCTGGGTCAAGCCCAAATGTCAGTTATCCCTGTGTGGCGTGAGTAGATGCTGCTGCTCAGCGTTGTGCTGATTTATTGCAGGACTTGACCATGACACCTCACCTGTTGCTGTGACGCTGCAGGCAGRGAGGGATGCACTGGAGCAGGGATCAGCCTGCACACCCAGAAGGTCACTTGATGCTCAGCTTGTCCTCAGCCTGAATCTGAGCTTGTGTCCACAGAGCCAGGAGGGCAGATGAGCTCAGGCTCAGTCCTCTGTGTAATGAAGATGTACATCGCACCCCAGGGACCAGGGAGGGCTGGGAAGAGAAAGAACCTTCATCTTGCAGCAGACACGGGCCCCACCCCCTTGCTTCAGCTTTCCAGGGAACTTGTGCAGCATAACTGGGCTGCTTTTGAAAGTGTATCCTGGTGTTTTAATGCTGCTTGTTCTTACTGCYCATCTAACTTCCATTTGCCCTCKTAACTGGCTGTTTTCCAAAYAATCATAGAATGGTTTGGGTTGCAAGAAACTTTKCAAGGTCACCCAGTGTCACCCCACTGCCATGGGTGGGGAYTCCTTTTACTAGAMCACGTTGCTCCAATCCAGCACTTCCAGGGATGGGGCAGCCACAGCTTCCCTGGGCAGCCTCTTGCAGGGCCTGACCACCTGCATTTTAAAATGTGGCCTTTCTCTTTCTCCTGTGAGCCCCTGTGTGCTGGGAGGCCATGGCTGCTCTGCTGGTACTCAGCACTCGCTGTGGTCCTGCCTCAGCTGCTCAGCACCAGCCTCATGCCAAACTGGCAGAGAAGGGCACAGAGCCCAGACCAGCCTCTTGTGACAACTCCTGCTTGAACAGACTTTGATTCCAGCCCTGCAGAGACATTCCCTTAACCCATGCCACAAGTGCTGACTTGTGCTGGTAACAGCCATTTCTCTGCTCACCTTTCAACCCACAGTAGCTGATAGAAGAATGGGTTTTTTTTTTGCAGTCAATGGATTCCCACCCTGAGCAGATCGCTCTGCGCCCCAAGGAGTTCTTCTGCACCTATGACATCGAAGTCCTGACTGAAATGCAGGTGAGGAGAGTCCTGTGTGTGCCTGAAGGAAAGTGCTGGTATTAGGCTGTATTTAGGGCATGTGGCAGCTGTCTCTGGCTCACTGGATGCTGCTGTGTGAATGTTGGGTGCCTAAGGTTGTTCAAAACACAGCTAATAAACTGCTCCCATGGCAGGAAGGACACCCTGGGCATGATCATGGTGTGGCCATCTGTACTGACCATCATTTGTTACCTGCCATTCCTCATGTGTATCTGGGGGACTGAGTGCCGTCKGATAAGGATAATCAGCCTTCAGACAGTGCAGACAATGATGGCTTAAATATTTCTCCCCATTATTTTATTTATATTAGGAGACCTTTGAGGATTTGTGAACAGGCAACTAGGAATATTTAAGGTGTGGGTTGGCCAAGCTGTGGACAGGGGAATTAAAACTGACAGACCAACCAAAAGCAATGAACCAACCAACTAAAACTAACATGGAGGACTAACACCTGACAGACAAGTTGATTGGGCTGGGAGCTCGGTGAAAATCTGGGATTTCATCCCGTAACATTATTTAGGAATGATTTCAGGTGGCGGCTGTGGATGTCAAGAGCAAGATAGCTGTGTTCAAGGATGGGTTTAAGATGGAATACAACAAACTGCTGATAGCAACTGGAAACACGTAAGCTACAGACAAACATCTTAAAGTTCAAGAGAAACTGTTTTATCTGAGAATGGGAGGAGCTTGTGCCTGGGGATAAGGGATGAAATGTGGCAGGTGAATTTGAAYACTGAATTTGTTTGCAAGGTGGAAAACTCAAGAAATGTAAAAGATATTGGAAATGTCTATGTGTATCTACATCTGCATGTACRTCTACATCTATATATCATCTTCAATCTATTTCATACATATCTGTCATATAGAATGACAGAATCACAAGATGGTTTKGGTTGGAAGGAATCTTAAAGCTCATCCAGACCTACCYGTGCTGTGGGCTGGGAACACTTCCCACTAGACCGAGTTGCTCTAAGCCCCGTCTAACCTGGCCTCGGACACTTCCAGGAATGGCATCACAACTTTAAACATTTTTTCTTTAATTAAATCTCCAAAGTGGAAGAATCCTAATATTTATAAGAGATAATTTTTGCCATGTTGCTCTTCTTTTCACTCTTTAATAGCACTCAACCCTGACTACCAGATAATTCATCCCTCTGAATTTCCATCTTTCATTTCCTGCCAAACTCTAAGATCTTTCTCAGCAATTAAAAAGTAACACTTTGCTATTGCAGCCTTAATTAGGTGCTTCTTCTTGTCCCTTAATTAGGTGTTACTGCTGTTCTAACAGACCCTTTGGGTGCCTTGGCCCCAGGATAGGAATTTTCAGGACTGAACCTGGTCCAGCCATAGGGAAATTGATTGCTGGGATGCTGAGCATTGCCTTGGACTGGTGTTGTCACTTGTGCCCTGCAGGGCCAGGGGAAGTAGTGGGTCAGTTTGTTTTCAGTTGGAGGTTTGTCAAAATTGGTAGTTTAAGCTAAAAATAAGGCATCCTGTCTTTCCTTCCTTGTGTTCCTTACACCAAAACATAAAATGAAGTCAGAGAAATGCAGCCCCTGCATGATTTATTATCTGGGAAAGGGATGCTGCAGAACAACTAAAACAGGGACTCACACTGGAAACCAAAGTGCCACCAGTCACAGCCAGTGCCACCAGGTGTGAATGCCTGGTACTAGGGTGTGCAGCACCACAGCCAAAATGCCATCTGCACCAGCAACCCACTTAGGTTTAAAAGAGGATTAAGCCTTTGGTAATTCCAAAATCCTCATGCACAATCTCCAGGTACACGGGGTAAATGTTATTTAAGGTACCTAAATATTTAGGACCTTCTATCTCATKTCCAGATGTGAATTGGATATGCGGGGGCCAGATGCTTAAAAATCTATAGGCTCCCCTATGTGCCTGGAGAGGGCATGGTTAAGCTGCTGCAGTATCAGCAGTGTGCCCATGGGAATGGAGAGTGGAGCCTTATCAAACTTYCAGTGCCTGGCTCCAAAGCACTGCTGGAGGACAGAGTGAGTGTTCTGTGTCCCATTAAGCTGCTGAAAGTTTCATGACATGCCAGCAGTTCAGCATAGGCTTGTAAAGCAGTGCCTATCCTGCACTGGCCACAGTGGCCCAGGAAGGGGCTCCCCTGGCCCTGCAGGTGCACCAGTCCATCATGGGATCTGGGGTGGCTGCTCAGCATCCCCTGCTCCACCACTGTCCACCAGCATTTGGGGTTTTCCATGTTACGTCTCCAGCCCTGAGAAAGATAAAAAAAGGGAAGTTGGGGATGCTGCTGGAGCCCTGGGAGGGGGTCTGCAGCCCTGACCGGGGACTGAAGCCACACAGAGTTGAGAAAAGCAGCTGTATCACCCTCAGTGTTTTTCAGGCCCAAAGCTCTCAGCTGCAAAGGCAAGGAGATGGAAAATGTTTTCAACATCCGGACRCCTGAAGATGCCAACCGTGTGGTGAAGCTGGCCACAAGCAAGAACGTGGTGATCGTGGGAGCATCCTTCCTGGGTGAGCACTTGCCTGGCGCGTGTCTCTGTCCCAGCTCTCTGCCTCTGCCTGCASTCCCTCGCCCAGTTTGTCACTGCCCAGTTAGAGGTAAAACCACCACCAAATTGGACATGGGGGAGTCAAACCTCCAGCCCCAGGTGTGTGTAAGGACATTTCCATGCTGAAGAAATTGTCACTGCCCAGTTAGAGGTAAAACCACCACCAAATTGGACATGGGGGAGTCAAACCTCCAGCCCCAGGTGTGTGTAAGGACATTTCCATGCTGAAGAAATKGAYTTTCTGAWGAGGCTGGGCTGGCATGGGCACAGATTTTGCTGTCCCARTCTGAAATGGCAAGGCCATTACTGGTGTTCACATGGGTCCAAATCTGGTGCGTCTAGAGCTGGCTTCAYTGTGGGTGGGTGGGAGCTTGTGAGTTTATTCTCTTTTACTTTTTAGCAGAGTGGTGAATTTTTAAAATACACAGGACAAGTCTTGTAGTTTCTTTGATGACTCTTCCTTTTGTTTGATGTGGTTCCAACAAATTGTGKGTCCTAGCAAAATGAGAATGGGTCCTGCAAGCCTTRTGCATAAATGGTTATTAGTCAGGGAATTTATTATAAAATGTTCATTATTTGTTTTTCTTCTTTTATAAAAGATTAACCTGCTTTAATGGTTCAACCAATATGCTCTACAGAAAAGCATGTGGTTGGGGAGCCAATTGCAAACTGCAGATCATCAAAAAGATTCTTTTCCACAAAAACCCCACAGGTGGAAAATGTCTTGGTGGAGGTTCCCATGCAATTCCCAGCAGTAAAGTTTTACCATTCTGACAGGTGAAAACAACTACTCCCAAGAGCTGTTTTCAGGCCACAGCTGAGGTGGTCCCAGCTGTGGGAGGATTTCCCTTGGCTGAGGTCCTTTGTTTCATGTTCTTCCCAGGGCACTTTGGGCTTCATGGCCTGTTTCTCCCTCTGATCTTTAAAAACCTACATCTAAGAACACCTGAGTCGCTGTGGTCCCTGGTCTGACCAGGTCTGGGGGCTCCCCAGTTCTCCGAGGAGTGCAGCTGCAGCCTCTCCAGTCAGAATGGGTGGGGTGCTCCTTGGCTGCAGCCAGGGACACAGGGCAGTGCTGGTTGGGGTCACATGGCTGCTTGGGCCTGCTTCTCTTCCCCAGGGATGGAGGTGGCCGCCTACCTCACAGAGAGAGCCCACTCGGTGTCTGTGGTGGAGCTAGAGGAAGTCCCCTTCAAGAAGTTCTTTGGGGAGAGGGTTGGCCGTGCTGTCATGAAGGTGACCTTGCTTTCCTTTTCCAGGGGGTTGGTAATAGAACAGGGTCTGCTTGTTTCACTTGTTGCACTAATTAATTTACTTCTCATTTATTGACAAAGCTGTGCTGGCAGCAGTCAGTGAGAGTGGGCTGTGTCTTTGGTGCCATGGTGCACGTGCTGTGGAGCACCTTCTTCTAGAGCTGTGCTGGGATGTAGGGGTGCTGACCCCCTTAGCAGTGTGGGTTGAGGCAGTGCAGGGTGGGAAAGACAGTGCTGGGGGCACAGAGACATCTGGACAGGGTGGTTCAGCTTCCCCATGTCCCCTGCTCTGCCTCTTGTCCCACTCCAGATGTTCGAGAACAACAGGGTCAAGTTCTACATGCAGACAGAGGTGTCGGAGCTGCGGGAGCAGGAGGGGAAGGTAAGGGGTGGGCAGGGGCTCCCGGGGGGCACTGCTGAGGCATCCCCCAAAGCTGCYATTCCCTTCCCTGCTGGGGTTTTGCTCTCCCCTCTTTCCTGTCCTGTGAAATTCATGTTCCTGGATTTAGCCCCCAGGAGCAAATGTGCACCAGTGTGGTGTGTGGGGTGTCTTCGTGTCTCCCACTCACCTCTTGCTGCTTWTCTAAGGAATTACGGTCAATTTGCATTTCACAAACGAAGGGAGCTGCCAGGTTGGCTTCCTGCTGCTGCAGAGGGGTTTTGTCCCTAAAATAACTGATGTGCCCTCTGCCCTGTGTCTCCTGCAGCTGAAGGAGGTTGTGCTGAAGAGTGGGAAGGTGCTGCGTGCTGATGTCTGTGTCGTGGGTGTTGGTAAGGGCTGTTGGGGTGCATGGCTGGGGAGGGGGGCTCTGCTTGGAAGAGAAGGAGCTGGAGGGGATGTGGTAGCAGGAGGTCCCTGGGGCTGAGTGGCCAGGGGTGCTGAGAGTGCCCTCTGAGCCCTGCTTGGCTGCTGCACACAAGTCTTCATAACTAAAAAAGGCCTTTTCCCACCCCAAAATGCATCTGAAAATATATTTGGGGAGAAATAATTCAAAGCAGTTTCCTCCTTTCAAGTTGTTTTTTTATTAAGGCTTCCCCAAACGGATTTTTTTAATGTGTTTTTTTTTTTTCTTTTTAATTGCTGCTGACAGCAATCAAAAATATATCCCATACTACAAAATAAAATAAAATACCCCATAGAATATGATATTTTTCTCCATTATGCTTGGGAAAAAAAAAAATTTGCTTTCCTGCCCTCTCTGTAACTTTTCAAAATGCTGTGGACTGGAAGAATCACATWATTAGTTTAATTCTGGTTTTGTTATTTTTATTGACTACTCTGATTTGTGAAAAGGCTGGAGGTAAAAAAAAAAGATGAAAAAAGGGAGAAGGAAGGTGAAGGAAAGGTACAGACTAGGGGGAGGCTGAGGAGCCCTGGCTGGAAACTTGAAGGTTCCCTTTTAAATATAGTCTTTTTCAAAATATATAGAAAAGACTGAAATTGAAAATTATCTCCAAGYCCTGGAAAAGGGCAGTGGGCAGGTTGCGCTGATGGCTTGGGCAGGACAGGGATCCTGGAGGAGCAGAGGCTTGTGCAGTGGGAGCTCTGTAGGGTACCTGGCACTGCTCCACACTCCCAGAGCATCCACTGCCTGTCCCTGGGGCAGCCCCACTGTCCTGGCAGGAGGGGATCTGCCATCCTCGGGATCAGGCTGTGGGGCACTGGATGCTGCAGCAGCGGCCTTTGGCTTCCCCCCAGGCGCAGTGCCAGCCACGGGCTTCCTCAAGCAGAGTGGCATCAACATCGACTCCAAGGGCTTCATCGTGGTCAACAAGGTGAGCCCAGGGCAGCCCCTGTGGGAGGGAGAGCAGGAGGAGCTGGGTCAGCTCTCCTGATGGGTGAGCTTCCCTGGGGCTCCAAACTGCTGCCACAGGGGCTTTTCATGGCCTTTTATCTGCCAAGATTGGCAGGATTGGAATTCTGGAATTCCTTGGGTTGGCCTGTGCAGGGCCAAGAATTGGACTCCATAATCCTTRTGGGCCCCTTCCATCTCGGGTTATTCTGTGAGATACTAAGATGCTGCAAGCATCACCAGGAGTGCCTGGGAGCCACCCTGCACGTGGGGGTGGGCAAACCCCAGCCCTGGATGCTGTGGCTTGGGTTGGGCTCTGAGCTGTCCTCCGGTGATGTGAGTATTTAGAGGGGAAAAAATTGAGAAARATCCATCTTTTCAAGGATCCTAACGGATCTCATCCTTTCAACAGCATCAGTGAATGTGATGGGAGCAGTGTTGGAGCTGGTGGGTGATGGTGCCATGGACAAAGGAGTGTTTTGGGAGGCTGGGGCTCAGTGCCATCTACCCGATGCTTATGCTCATCCCTGCTGGGCTCTACCTGCAAACACCAACAAACTCCAGACTGGGAGAGGGGCTCCAGTCCATGTCTCTTTTTAGTGGATAACCCACTGGCAGAGGGGTATTGTAGGTCCCTGCCTTTTTGTTCTTCTTTGAAAGTGGAGAAGGCTGAATGAAATCTTGCCTGGGGCTCCCACAGCCGAGCAAAGGTTTTCCGTGTGTCGCTGGGCAYTATGGCAGCTCTGGACCTGTTCCCTTTTTCTGTTCATGTAGGGTGCAAACCCCACTAGTGCCCACCTCTGTTCTCCCTGCAGATGATGCAGACCAACATCCCAGGGGTCTTTGCTGCTGGAGATGCTGTCACGTTTCCACTGGCCCTACGGAATAACAAGAAGGTGAATGTCCCCCACTGGCAGATGGCTCACATGCATGGTAGGTACTTAGCAGAAAAGAGCCTTTTCCWGATTCTCAGGAAATTTCCAACCCCTCCAGGGTGAGAATGAGACAACTGCCAGCAGAGAGACTGGGTGGCTGTAGTGAACATTTTGAAGTGTGTGCATCTTATGCTGTCTGTTCATCTGTCAGTATTCTCRCCAAGCTTTGCTTAATGGTGCCCAGGGACAGGCTTTGTCATCTTCCCTCTGCTCCCTGGCATTGCTGCAGGAGCCTGCTCTCCTTGCCCCAGGACACTTAGGAACTCACATCCTGATGCCAGCCTGGGCTCAGGCTCCCAGCTGGGCTTCACACACTGCCAGGCTGGCCCAGGAGTGATCAGCAGAGCTCCGACCCTTCTCCCCTCTAGTCAGCCTGGAGCCCCTGGTGTGATGGGCTGCCCTCATGGCTACAGTCCCACGGGAAAGTTTCCTGTGCCGTGAGTGAGAGGTTTTGGAACCACAGCTCTAAATTCAGCCTTTGGACACATCCCCTGGTCCAGACATGCTTCTGCTGCACAGACAGTACCCCAAAAGCCTCCATGCCCTCCAAGGGTTTGTCCATCCGATCCCMATCTATGTGGGAGCTCAGCACACTGTCAGCCCAGTCACTGTTGCACAAGTTGGGGGGAAGGAGTCTCACGGGTAACAGGGCTCATGGCAGTGATGAGTAGGAGCTGCACCACGGGAAGGAGTCTGAGCCCATCCTTGGTGCTTCCTGCTCTGTCTTTGTTGCCGTGTGGGTTTTCTCAGCAGCATTCTTGGTTTCTCTGTACTCTGTGAGCCGAGGGCAGAGCACGGAGCTTGCCCTGGAGTGGCAGTTCCCCCATGCTGTGTCTCCTGCAGGCCGCATCGCCGCGCTGAACATGCTGGCCCACGGCACAGAGATCAGCACTGTCCCGTACCTGTGGACAGCSATGTTTGGGAAGAGCATCCGATACGCGGGTAAGGGGCTCCCACTCCCCACTCCTGCTGGGAGTTTGTGCTGGTGGAGGTGTCCTGGGGTAGAGAAGCCTCCACACCAACCTCTGCCACAGGGCTGTTTCCCTGCCTGGCTTCCCAGGGAGGTCAGTGTCGCCTCTGAAACTCATCTGTCATGAAGTGCACTTCTCTAAACATGATGGAGGATTGATTTAGATTAGATATTGGGAAGAAGTTCTTCCYTGTGAGGGTGATGAATCCCTKGCACAGGTTGCACAGAGAAGCTGTAGCTGCCCCATCACTGGAAGTGTTCAAGGCCAGGTTGGACAGGGTTTGGAGCAATCTGGGATAGTGGAAAGTGGCCCTGACCATGGTAGGGGGTTGGAACAAGATGTTTTTCAAGGTCTCTTTCAACCCAAACCCCTCCTGCGATTCTGTGATTTTTGGTACAYGCATCTCTTGGTGCTGGTATCTTGGTCACTGCAGGATGTTCTCCATGTAGTGCTGGAAGGAAACACCCTGTCTTAGTGGTGGATCCAGAGGAATTGCTGCTGAATCGACTTCTTCTTTGCTTTCCAGGCCACGGGGAAGGATTTGATGATGTTGTCTTTCAGGGAGATTTAGATGAACTGAAGTTTGTGGCATTTTATACCAAGTAAGTGTTTCTCTTGTCCATATTCCTACAAAGGCATTCATCTGAGATTAGTCTGCTAGAATGTAAAAAAGTTCTGCCAGAGCTTCTGTCAGTCAGTTTTGTTCATCTCTGGACAGTGAGCTTGTGGGTCACTTTATACAAAGCCCTGGAGAAATGATGTGCTGATTGTACAAGTTAAACTGGTCTTTGGACCTGGTGTCTCTGGCACATATAAGCCCTTTGTCTGTTTGCATAATCTCTGGGAGCAGATGATGGCTTCTACTGGCAATTCCTATCAAATATTTCCTTCCCATCTCATCACCATGTTAATGGTTTGTGACCAGTGCTGGACAGRGCACTCAGACATCATTATTTCTGCTTCTGGTTTGACAAATTGAGTTAAAAAAAACCTCTTCCATGTGTAACAAGTTGTCAAGGTTTGCAGGAACTCAGGAACTTGCTTTACATCTGTAGTRAAACGCAGCCCTCGCTCCGGTTTGGGAGCTTACCTGGGAATGTGTTCCTGAGATGTGTTGGCAGCTGGGATGTGTTGTCTCAGCTGTTGTGGAGCCATGCTGGCTGTTYAGACTGGAAAGATGGTGCACCATGAATTTATCCCAAAAATACTTGCTTCTGTTTATTCTGTTGCCTTTGTCCACATCCCAGACTGAAACCAGTGGCCACAGAACCCTCCTCATGCTGGAGCCAGAGGGTTTTCTCCAAGTGCTTTCTGATGTTAAGGGTGAGGAGAGGGAAACCAGGGAAGCAAAGGGCTTTCCAGCTCAGCCATCAAACCCCTTGGCAGCAGCATCCAGGCAGGGATCAGGAGGGAGCTCTGGATAGGAGCCAGCTCTAGCTCTGAAGRCATCATCTTACTGCCCCTCTGTCCCCTGTCCAGCCTGGCAGCTGGATGTGTCCACTGGGCATGGAGAGGCATGGGGCTCACTGCCTCACCCCAGGGGTCCCTGATGCTGACCCTCCTCTGCCTGGTACCTGCACTCCTTGGGTAAACACCTGCTGCAGGCACGGGGCTCTAGCTGGCACCCAGGGCCCTTTGCACATTGGGTATAGCTCAGGGTGTGCTGGAATCTTGGCCAAAATTGCCTAAAGGGGTGAGTTTGTGCCAAGGCATCACCTGGGCTGGGGAGAGCTGCTGTGGCGATGTTCCCCTCCTGCAGCCTTTCCATAYCAGAGCATTTATCTCTTTATCCCARCCTTAATTAGGAATGAAAGGTCAGGTTGCTTTAATTAAATATCTGAGGAGGCTGTTCAAAAGGAGCGCGCTGAGCAAGATGCATAATCCCTGCTCTGTGCCAGGGCCCCCCACTCCTTGTGCCATGGTCCTGCAGGGGATGGGGCTGCCAGGGGGGCTGTGCTCAGCAGGCAGCTCTGGGGGTCCCTGCTGAGGGATGTGTTGTTCTGCCACCCAGGAGGGGCTCCCGGAGATGGCGTGTGGGTACCAGGACGGCATTCCATGCTGAGAGTCGCAGGTACTGGGGAGCACTGGCTGGCGGGGGTCAGCCAGTGTGTCCCCCACTGCTTGGCTCCCTGTCTGCGAGAGGCCACTGGAGCATTTCTTCCTCTTTCTTTTTTGGTGATGGTTCTTCTAGTTGGTGCTAATGCTTTTGCACTGAGGATAGTCTCAAGCTGACCATTTCCTCCTGCTTCCTTCTGATGTGGCTATCCTGTGGTTTGGACTCTTCTGCTGGTTCTTCTGGGTTGATGCAGGAGCCACTGGTGCTTCCCATTCCTACAGCCTGCTCCCTGCACTGGTTTTCACAATAAGGTTTCTTTTGCCCTGGAGTTTGAAGAGGAAAGCTGTTCTGTCAGGGCTGTGTAGAGGTCAGTGAAAGGCCCTGTGCTGGCAGGTGTAGGGGACAGCACTCTGCAGATGTCCCCAGGGGAGGCTCTCTTCACAACAGACTGATGTCATCCTACCCCTGAGACCTAGGAGACCAGGGAATTGCTGTGGCTGTCTTCTTCATGGTTCCCCACCTCTATTGTGGTKAGCCCTGCAAAGGAAGGGAAGACCATGTAAACACTGTGCTTCCCTCTTCCCTCAGTCTTCAGAAAGACTTCTGATTGCTCCAAAGCCCAGGAAGGGCTTGTTGTCTTTGAAGCTTGTTTTGAAGCTTTGTCTTTGAGGCTTGTTGTCTTTGAAGACCTTTTGAAAAAGAGGGATTCCTCCTGGCATCTATCTGACAAAGTGTTAAAAAGCCACTACTGATGCAGGATGCTTTAGCTCACCAGCACCCCATGAGTTATTTTGCAAAAGGAGCAGCTACCCCATGTCCTGCTGGCAGAAATGTTTGGGCTGCATCTGCCTTCCTGGCTGCCCCCTTGGGCACCGTCTGGGCTTGAGCCTGAGCCAGAGGACAACTGGTGGGAGTAAATCTTCTGGTTCCCTTGCGTACCTTGCTTATTCATTGCTTGGACCAGCACATTTCCCCCGGTCTGGACGGATAGGTCCCTCCAACCACTTAGTGTTTCCCAGCTGAGAGCTGGCTCTGCTCAGGAAACTCCTCTCCTTTATTTGCCATGAGCTTATTTAGGAATGGGGGCTTTTTGAAACAGTTTGTGATGAAACTGTCCCATGGCTTTGTGGACAGATGTGAGAGATGGCTTTAACTCCTGTGGCTGCACAGGGCTGAAGTGTCCTCTGAAACARGGCATTTGCTCTCCTCATTCTGAATTAGGTACACATCCCTCCCCACCCCAGCTGCTCTTTGCTCTGTTGATCACTTGGCAGTGGATTTAAGAGCAGATCTTGGTTTAGTGGTGCTTCTAATCTTCAGTTTATTCAACAGTATCACCAGAGTTTAATATCTTACCCACACATGTTCCCTGATTTCACACTGTGCATTCAGTTATCTCTTTATGAGTCATCTTAAAGTCAGGCTTTGAAGGTTTATGCTTGGATTGACTTCGGCAAACCTCAAATGACAAAAGCCCTTCTTATTTGCCTGTGACCTTTAGCCAAAGCTCCTCCAGCATTTTTACATCCTCTTCCTTCCGCTTCATTTGTTTTCTACTCAGCCTTTGAGGCTGCATTGGGTTCCTGCTAGGGAAACAATCAGCTGACCTGACATGCCATATACATGGGGACTTCCTTGCTGGGGCTGTGGGACCCAGGGGTTGGACACCCCAGCTCCCAGTGCCTGTGGAGCAGATCAGAGTGGACACTGCCCATTTGGAGGTGGGGATCAGGAAGGGGATGTGGAGCATCCCAACTGAATTTGCCACAGGGAAATCCTGACCACCTGCCTCTCCACTCCCTCAGGCAGCAGTGCAGGGAYTACAGCTGGGCATCCTTTCTGGTGTCCAGATTTTTATCACCATCAGACTTACCTGTGGTGGTGTTTTACCACAGACACCAGGGTCCCAGAGCTGTGTCAGTCACCCAGGCACCCTAGTGATGCTCRCCACATCAGCACATGAACATTGGTGGGATTGGTGGGGCCAGCCTGCTGTGCCACTCTGTGCCCTCTCCTGACCCTTGTTGCAGCCACTAGTACAGTCCCTGTGGTGCTCATGCCTTGGGATGGGGCCTGGCTCTGGAGTGGGTGYTTCTCTTTGCCTCCCTCTTCCCTCCATCCTGTTGGGTTTTGGGTGATGGAGCTGTGGCTATCCAGGCTGCCCTAACTGTTCTGCTCTGCCCGGCCAGGAGTGACGAGGTGGTGGCTGTGGCCAGCATGAACTATGATCCAATCGTCTCCAAGGTGGCCGAGGTCCTGGCTGCTGGCAGGCCCATCCGGAAGCGTGATGTGGAGTAAGTAGACATGCAGTGGGAACTGGCGGTGCCAGGGCAGTGGCTAAGCACAGCCRTGGGGTGCTGGGCAGGGCTCAGCCTCTCCCACTGATCCCTCTCCATACCCTTCTTGCAACTCCCTSTTCTGCTTCCTCCATCCCCCCTGTGCTGCCTCCTGCCTGCCTCCAGGTCTGGCATCCCACACACATGGGATTTGTCTTAAACATCAGCACCTAAATCCTTGTCCAGGCATGATGGGGTGGGGTACTCCATGCCTTTGGGCAYTGGCACATCATCACAGAAGCAATGCTTGATGCTGGGGTGCACCTGGGCTCCCCGTCAGTCAAGGAGACCTGCAGAGAGGGACTGTGCAACCTGTGTAGAACCCCCTATGCRCAACCCAGCCCAGAGAGCTGGTGGTGCCAGAATGGCCAGTGGTGTCTTAGCCTCGGTGCCTTGGAGTGGAGCTCATAGGCAAAGGGCCTTTTTTCCCCTTCACTTTGTTTTTAAGACKTTGCAGAGGAAAGAGCACAGCTTTGTGCTGAGGGTGGGTTCTGGAAGGCAAATGCCAGAGAGATGGTAACAGTTGGGAAGAAGCCTTTAAAGTGGGAATCAGAGCTGCTGAGGGAATGTGGGTCCCTGTCCCAGGGGTGTTTCCACATCTGGAATAGAAATAGATATTTTCAAAAGCTCAAGGAGATGAGCACTCCCAACCCCCATGCAGCTCTGAGCCAGCTCAGACTCCCTGGACACCCCTAGGATGGGGGGCATATCATGGGCCCACCCAGCTGAGACTGGGTTTATAAAATGACAATGGTTTAGGTTGGAAGGGACCTTAAAACCCATCCAGTGCCACCCCAGCCATGGCAGGGACACCTCCCACTGTCYCAGGCTGCTCCAAGCCCCAGTGTCCAGCCTGGCCTTGGACACTGCCAGGGATCCAGGGGCAGCCACAGCTTCTCTGGGCACCCTGTGCCAGGGCCTGCCCACCCTTCCAGGGAAGAATTTCTTGTGCCATTACCCCAGTACATCAGGAAATGGTTGCTGGTGTCCCACTATGGCTGGGAGGGAGGTGACATCTTGTGGGGTGGGGAGCAGCTGCTGGCCCTGTGGTGGGGCTTGGGGGCTGGAGGGAACCAGATTAAACCTGAGTATCTTTTCTCTCTCTGTCTCCTGCTGCTTTYACAACTGTAGGCTGTTTGTCCGTCATGGCAAGTATGTTCGGTTTGGGGTCGTGGGCTGTGCTGGATGTGAGGGGCTGGCAGGAAGGACCATGTCCCTCATTCTCATATGGGGACACTGGTTACATGAGGGGCATCCCCCTTGCATGGGGGACAGTGCTGGGTGGGAGGGCTGGAGCTGCCAGGAGCCACATCAGGATCTGTTGGGAATGGGTAACTTGCTGTTGGCTGGGACCCTTCTTGGCTGGGGCCTTGGTGGCATTCCATAGATTTTCAGCTGAAGAGCTGCTTTTAAGTATAATTAAAATGTTTGAGCTCAGTTTTACATGGATTGAGGATCTGCAGGTGACTTTTTGGACAGTTTACTGATAGCTGAGAGAGGGCAGAGGAGGGAGCAGGGTGCTGGGATGGACACCAAGTACTGGACTAGCATCCAGGCACACCAAGAGTGTTTGCCTGTGCACACTGAGAAACCCCTCACAACGCTGTGTTTTTTCTCTCTTTCAGAACTGGAGACATGTCCTGGCTAACAGGGAAAGGCTCCTAATGCCGCTGGTGGCTGAGCCCTCCTGATGCTGCACTTGCTGTGGGGAGATGGGATGGCAGCTCCACAGCTCAGCCATTTCCCTTTGAGACCTGGATGAACCCACACCTGGCATTGTGCATTAACCTTCCCAGAAGGATCTCCCACAGCTCCTCTGCCCCTGTGCCTGCTGGGCTGTGACTCTGCTGATGCAAATGCTGTGGAATGCTGGAAAAGCAGCCCCGAGAGAGCGTGGGGKTTGGCACTGGCAGTGGGCACGGGCRCCACGTGGTTCCAGATGCTGCCATTAGGCTGGGGGTCCCCAGGCGGGTCTGCCTCACTTACGTCCCTCACCCCCATAAGCAGCACGAGTGCCTTTGGTTGYTCCTGTGCTTTCATGCATGATGCTTCTTTCCAAATTCTCTTTGCTCCCAGCAGAGCTCCAATGTGCTTCCCCACGGAGCCTGACATCTGCTCTTCCTGCATGGCTGCAGGTTTGCCACAGCTCTCCCTGAGCCCAGCCACCCTGGGGAGCATCTGGGCGGGCCAGGAGATGKGGTCACACTGGGTGGTCTCTGTGCAGGCTGATCCTGTGCAGCCCCCCAGCAGAGGGGGGTCCTTGGCCATGCTGGGGGCTCTGGAGCTCATCAGTCCCATCCCRGCACCTCCTGTCCTGGAGCAGCCATGGGGCTGGGATGCGTTCCCTGTCTCCCAGAGCTCGCTTTGGACTGGGGCACTGGCAGCTCTTGGTCTGTTCCCAGGGTGTGGAGAGTGGGTCCCTGAGAGTGTGATGGCTCAGCTGTAGCCCTGGGCTGGGTGGCCACCCTTCTAGCCAGCCTTGAGGTGTCTGTCCTTAATGCTATCACGGGATCAGTGCTACTGCTGAGGTGATTCTTGAGGAAAAGTAGCTGGAGGAGCATTTCTGGCCGTCCATTCTCTGTCACTCACCTAGTGCAGTGACATTTCTCAGCCCACCATGCCAGTGCTCTGCTGTCCTGTTTCCTGCCCCATGCTGAAGAAGAGCCGTGTCTTCAGCTCAGGACTGGACCTGGCCAGCCACAGCTCTGTGTCCATCAGCCCAGCAGAGTGGGGGGTTGAGGGTCCCCTGTGGAGAGACTSCAATGCTTTGTTCTGGGGGTCACTCCTTCCCCAGCAATCAGTGTTTTACCCTGAGTCCAAAACAAGAGGATTTATATTTTTAATTTGATCCACCCCCTACGAATTAAAGCAATATTATTCTTGGGATCTGGGTCATTTCTGATTCTTTTCAAGACCTTGGGTCACCTATGAAGGTTGGTCAGGTCAGCACCTCTTCTCTTGAGACTTCCCACCAGTGCCCAGCTCACCTGTATTTATTTCCAGTCTTTCMGATCTTGGTTGGGTAGAAATGCCACCAGTGTCTGTCACATCGCTGGCTGGTCTTTCCTGGTTTCACTGCAAAGCTTTTCCCAGGTGGAATGACCAGGAGGGATGGTAGCAGGATCCACACTCCACACGCAGCGATGAACAGGGACCATTGCGTGTGTGCTGGATCTACAAAATGATGGGAACTTGCAAGTCTCATCTCAGGTTCCAAAAGACATATGTCAGTGTTCCTGTTCTCAGGTCCTCCTCGGAAGGCAGGGGTGGCTGGGGCTGTTCAGCTCCAGGTGCTCTGGGCACTCTTCCAGAGTGGCCTGGGGCCGTGGGCACTGCCCAGGTGGAGCCTCAGGTCTGCCCATACCCCGTGCAGATTGGGCTTTGTATCCTGTGCCCTGCTGGTGGAACAGTTGGACTCGGCTTTGGCATCTCCCCAGGGTACCCAGCTAGAGTGCCAGGGCACTCCGGGGTGCCACAGGGTGGCATTCCCCGGAGCTCTGTGTTTTTCCCCAAGCTCTCTGGCATATTGTCCATGTTGGGTGAGACTGGCAGCTTCCCCAGCACAACTTGACTACCCTGGGGACACTCTGGCAGGGTGCTTTGTTTTCGAGGAAGATGCTTTTTTATGTCATCCAGTATTGAGCATGAGCTGCATAAAATGGGCATMACCCCCATGTTCACAGGGGTGAAGACCATTCAGGGGCTGAGGGAGGACCTTCTGCCCTGGTTTACAGCTGCAGTGGGGGTAATAAGTGCCATTCCCTGCTTTTTACAGAGGAGTTGTTTCAACCAGAGCTGGTAATATCACCCGTGACACAGGAAAGCCCAGTCACCACCACCAGTAGCTTTCCCTGGGACATGTGCCAGGTCATGGGCATGGCTGCTGGGTCAGATGGGTACTGCTCCTCTGCACAGCTGTGGGGTGCTGCTGAACCTGGGAACCCTCACCCAGTGCCTTGGCAAATGCTTCCCAGTGGTGAGTCTGTTCTGGAACTGGGCAAGGCTGGGTTGTGTTCTCTGCCACCTCTTCAGGCACATCTGGCAACCTCTCATGCCAGGACAGGAAGTTTCCATCTCTKCTTAAGAAGCTGCCTGTTCCCATGAGGAGCGAGAGCCCAGCACATGCAGTGACCCCCAGCTGCGCTGCCCCATTGCATTACTTGCACCAGACTGTCCAGGTGTCTCCTTGGTTGCTCACCTTGCCTGCCCATGCATACTTGATGCCCCCAGATCCTGAGCYCTACACCAGCTCCTGCTCCTCAGATTCTGGGCTGTGCTTGTCATGCTGCTCATGTCTCACCTGAGTGCTGGCAGGACCTGGGGGACAGCACACCTTGGGCTTTGCCTCTACTCCACTCAGATGAGACCCCACCTGGAGAACTGCAGCCAGCTTTAGGGTCCCAGCACAGAAAGGACCTGGAGCTGCTGGGAGTGAGTCCAGAGCAAGCCATGGAGCTGCTCCAGGGCTGGAGCCCCTCTGCTCTGGAGCCAGGCTGGGAGAGCTGGGGGTGCTCACCTGGABARGAGAAGGMTCCAGGGAGAGCTCAGAGCCCCTTTTGGGGCCTAAAGGGGCTCCAGGAGAGCTGGAGAGGGACTGGGGACAAGGGAGWAACAGGACAAGGGCAGGTTGGGATATTGGGAAGAAGATGGGATATGGAAGTTCTTCCCTGTGAGGGTGGGGAGGCCCAGAGAAGATTGCCCAGAGAAGCTGTGGCTGCCCCTGGATCCCTGGMAGTGTCCAAGGCCAGRCYGGACATTGGGGCTKGGAGCASCCTGGGACRGTGGAAGGTGTCCCTACCCATGGTAGGGGGTGGAATGGGATGAGCTTTAAGGTCTCTTYCAACCCAAACCATTCTGTRATCCTGACTTCAGCCAGCCAGATGTTGGTCTAACCATGCTTTCAGCCCCAGATGATTTGGTTTTGACAGCATATGGCAGTGAGGTCTACAATTTAATTTCACCTTTATCAAGGAAAAGAATCCTCTGTTTCTTAGTTTCTTGTGTTCCTTAACATAGCCTGGTCCTTAAGGAACCCATTTATAGAGCTTGCTCCCACTATTTGAGGCAGCTTCTCTGATGAAACTTATGGGGTGAATTGGAGGCTGAAGATCATGAGGTGGGACCAGATCTGTTGGGTAGAACTGACACTTACAGAGCATGTCCAGAGAAGGGAACGGAGCTGGGGAAGGGTCTGGAGCCCCAGGAGCGGCTGAGGGAGCTGGGAAAGGGGCTCAGCCTGGAGCAAAGGAGGCTCCGGGGGGACCTTGTGGCTCTGCACAACTCCCTGACAGGAGGGGACAGCCGGGGGGGTCGGGCTCTGCTCCAGGGAACAGGGACAGGAGAGAGGGAAYGGCCTCAGGCTGGGCCAGGGCAGGGRCAGGGTGGATATTAGGGAATATTTCTTCATGAAAAGGTTTGTCCAACTCTCACACAGTGGTAGAGTCCTCATCCCTGGAAGTGTTCAAAATTTGCAGTAGAGGTGGCATTCAGGGACATGGTTTAGTGGTGGCCCTGGCAATGCTAGGTTAGTGATTTGAYCTGATGATCTCAGAGGGCTTTTCCCACMTTAATAATTCTGTGATATTAAACCTGAAGTTCCTGAAGCACCGTTCCTTTCCCAGCCATTCACCTCTGGCTCAAACACCCCCTCACACATCACCCCTGAGCCCGGATGGGGCTTGTGGGCCTCCCAGCAATGGGTGAATGYTCCATGAGCCTGGAGGCCTTGAAGAAGCATTTCAGGTGAAGAGCACCATGAGAGGTGCATCCTTGTCTGTCAGGGGTCTTGGAGCAGTATTTGTGTTGATGCAGCCCAGCTGGAAGAGGGTGCAGTTGCCGCAAGTTACGGTGACAGGTAGAACCTGCTGTCACCCCGTACAGATGCTGTGGAGGGGAGATGCTCTGTCACCTTTGACTTCCTGGCGACTCACTTTGTGATTCCCGTGTGGGCTTGGTGTTCCAAGGTTGTGTTCTTGGTGTTCCAGATCCRTTCCCGCTCAGTAACGCTGTCCCCAGGGAGCCAATGGCTGTGTGGCCCTGCGCATTAGCCTGGCCTGTCATCCCCTTGATTCCCTTCTGGCTAATCCCGGCTGAGCCAGGCTGGGRTAAGCAGGGCTCTGCTGCCGTCCATGGCTGCGTCCACCCCGCTGCCCCCCAGCCTGCGCCGGGGCTTGGTGGCCTTCAGCGGCTCCCTCTTCATCAGCAACAAGACGTGGGATAGTGGCACTGCCCACACCTACCAGCCAGGTATGGGCAGARGGGCTCTGCCGAGGGGGCTTGGGGACGGGGGCTGCCCATCACTGCCACCCTGCCAGCACATCACCACAGCACCGGGGTGCCTCTGAGCCAGGAACACCCAAAGGGTCCCTGAACCCACCCACCGAGGAGGGGAGCAAAAATGAGAACATTTGCTGCCATCAGCTGCTCATGGGACCCAGGAGCTGTTCCTGTGAGGGATCTCTCTGGGTAGGGGGACCCCAGGGCTGGGGGGCAGCCTGCCCATCCCTGCCTGTTCTGCTTAGCTCACGAGGTGCTGTCCAGCCTGCCCCTCCAGGTGATGCTCTACTTCAATGTCTACTACTTCCCAGTTTGGTGCCTGGCGGAGGGGATTATGCTGCACCTGAAGGTACCATCCCATGGGGCACGAGGGGATGAGGGGAGCTGATCCTGCCCAGCCTCCCTGGGCTTGGGTGGGGGACAAAGTGGGCAGGGGACAGAGGAGCCTTTTCAGAATTAATGGGTCCCCAAAAATGCTGTGACCCCTGTGAAACAAGATTGCTTGTCTCTGTCTGCCAGAAACGGAAATCATGAACTTTGCAGGCAGGGAAGGTTAAACTGGGGGATGGGGGGGGGAGGGGAGAGTAGGCAGAGCTGGGCACCAGCATGGTGGGAGCTGGCAGAGCATGGAGAGCTGGGTATGAGGAGGAGGGCACAGGAAACTGGGCATGAAGTACAGGGAATGGTGCACAGGAAATGGGAAACTGGGCAAGGACAACTGGACTGGGACAAGGCTGTGCCCCCATTACAGTACCGCCTGCTGCCTTGGCACTACCAGTTCCTGCTGGTCACAGCCTTCCTCATCCTCTCACTGGCTGAGGGCTCCCGCCTCTACCTGGGCTACCTGGGGAACCTCCAGGAGAAGGTAAGCACTGCCTGCCCTGGCCACAAAGCCCCTGCACTCAATGAGGATCAGCCCAGCTGGGGGAGCTGGACGTCACCTCACTTGGGACCCATGTGCCCATCACTGTTCTTCCTTCTGGGGTTTTATCTGGAGCTGTCCCAGCAGAGAATCGTGGGTGCCGGCAGGACCTGGAGAGAGGGAATGAAGGGGACCCACTCGCCCTCCTTCAGCACTGGGGGGGTTTGACAGCATCTGACCACAGCTCCACGTGGCAGGGACATCCCCAGTCCCTGAGTGCCAAGGCCAGCAGTGGCTGATGCAGGGGGCACAGAGGGTCCCCCCAGCCCACTGCTGCCTCCTTGCCCCGTCTCAGCATGTTCYGCTCCTGCAGGTGCCAGAGCTGGCTGGGTTCCTGCTCCTCTCCTTCCTGATCCAGCTGCCCCTCCTGCTCTTCCTGCTGATGGACAGCCAGGTCATCCACCTGCCACTGGAGGTGCCCATGCACATCTTGTTCCTCACCTTCCTCCTCGCTGAGATCGTGGCTGCTTTTCTGGCRCTGAGGACCATGACGAAGCAGCTGGCGGCACAGTTCTACCTGCGGCAGTTCCAGGAGGGTGGGAGGAGCCGGCTGGGGCCAGGGAGCACAGGGGGACATGCGGCTGAGATGGGGTGATGCTGCAGGTCTCCTCCACCCCACACAGCTAGTACTGGCAGGGAGCATTAAATGGAGCTGGAACCCACAGTTTTTGAGCTTTGTGGAGCACCCCAGAGCAGCACCCAGGCACAGCCCAGCTGATCCCTGCCTTGCACCAGCCAACACACCCCAGCAAAGCTGAGAGAGGGGTCAACACCTCTGAAACATTCCAGCTCACCCCAGGGCTGTGCCTGTTCTCGTTGAGCATCAGCCCTGGCAGGAGGCAAGAACCAGGGTGCAGGAGCCACTGCATGCCCCTAGGAAATACCAGCTCAGGGCTGGAACCTTAAGCTCAGCTCCTAAAGCCTCCCTAAGCTTCTCAGGGAGCTCCTGAGAATCCAAGTGGCCCCCATGAAGCCATCCCAGCTGGGARCACGCAGGGTGCCTCAAGGTGTGCGAGCAGCACCCCAAAACCTTACAGTCACTCCAGGGCTAGAGACGGAGCAGAGCCTCCTCYTGCTTCCAGAACAGCTTTATTCCATTGCATCCCTGTTTTCCAAGGGAAATCAAGGCCCATGGCCTTTGGAACACAGAGAAATGCAAAATGCTTGAAGTCTCTTGTGCCAAGCAGGACCAGCTGCTCCCCAGCATGCTCTGGTTCCAGGGCAGCTCCACGGGCAGCTCTGCTCCGGCACCAGCTCAGTGCTAGGAGCTGCCCCAGGGATGGCCTTGTGCTCCAGGAGCCAAGATCTGCTGGGACTGCCAGTGCTTCTCCACAAAAGGCACACCCTAACCCAGCAGTGCCCACCTGGGCCCAGACTGGCCCATCTCCACCAGGGCTGCAGCTTTGCCTCCATCACATCTGCCTGGAGGTGGCTCTGGAGGGAAAGATGCTTGTGGTAGACCATTCCTGATGTCCCTAAGCTGTGGTCTCAGGCTTGCCTTTGGGGGGTTTTGCCTGTAAAATTAACAGGGACACAGTAAATGACAGGCATGGGGACAGCCCAGGTGGCCCYGGACTCCCTTGCTTGGTCCCATGCAACCAGATTCACTGTCCAGGACTCCCACTCCACTCTGGATTTGAGATCGGGCATTAAGAACATTCTGCCCCCATAGGATGGTGCAACTTTGGGACAGCTGATGGGGGACCTCAGTCCTCAGAAGCTGCAAAGACTTGGCCAGACAAAGCTGGAGATGATCTGAGGCAGGGCTGCCAGCTCTTCTGCTCTGTGGGGGCCTCCCTGTGACTCCAATTCACTAGGGCACCAAATTCCTACAATGGAAATCATGCTCAGCATGTAAACCTGTCAATGAACCACAGAACATGATGTGCTCTGAAGAGCGGCCTCTCTCTGCATAGAGTCCCAACAGATTCCATTTGAAAGAGGGKGAATAAGCATGGAGCTGGGTCAGTGTTCCAGGTAAGGTCTCTATGGGGATCCACTGGTGTCTTAAGAGTAGCTGAGGTCATGGTGCAACTTTTCCTGACTCCCAGCATCAGCTGGATCCCTCTGCCAGTTCAGACCAGCCTCCGAAAATTGGAGACTGAGAGCTACTCCACCACATTTTTCCCTGATCTTGGGAACCAAGTTTCAACCAAAGGTCAGAAAATAATTAAATCCAGAATGATTCACTTCAAAACCTCTTCTCTCCCATGTGGCCCTATCCTTACCTCCTCAAACTTCTCCTTCCAATAAAGGTCAGCCTTTGCATCCAGGTAGAGCAGAACCAGGTCACAGACCATTGTAGCCTGGAGACAGACAAACATTGAAGATGGGAAACTTCCCACAGGAATGCCTGGCCTTCCATCCTGGCTCCCACAGGCCCTGTGGGCATTTCCTGGGGGCACTGAGCCAGCCCTTCCTCCAGCAAGACCACCTGCCAGCTCCACTGGCTCCTCTCTGAGCCAACCTGCTCCCAGGAGCTGCACAGAYCAGACAGGATCCCCGTGTTGCAATGGATGGACTGGGATTAGCATGCCAGGGAGCAAAGYGGGGCAGATGGGGGACCTCCCTGTTACTCTGCTGGAAGGGAAGAGCCACACAAGGGCTCTACAAGGAGCTGCCCCACCATGGTGACAGGACACTGGGTCCCTTCAGAGTCAGTGGAGAAGCAGATAGAGAGGCTGTTCTCTCCTGTCAGCAGCACCCCAGTGATGGTCTGTCCCAGGACCCAAAGACCTGGCCTCCATGAAATGTCACCCTGCCAGCACTCAGGATCCCCATTCAGAATGTCATTACTGCTAATGGTCACAGGGAAACAGGAGCTGACACCTGGCCAGACCATCTCCTCTCTGTGCTGGCTGGCACCCAGGAAGCCTTGTGCCCAGGTAGGCAGGGAAACCACTGASAAGTGGCAAATCCCAAGGCACAGATCAAAGGAAAAGAGCATATCTGGAGTACTCACGGCACCAAAGAAGGCAATGCTGGTGCCGAAGCTCACAGCAGTAGGAATGATGCTGAACTTCCCAGCCTGGTGAGAAATGGTAGAGGGTTAAGAGAGTGGATGGAGAGTGGACAGAAGGGTGAAAGGGGTTTGGGCTGAGCCTTGCAGGCCAGCATGCTTCAAGTCCCGAGGTGCTGGAAGGACCCAACACAGGATATATTTCCCCATGCCCAGTTGTAGGAACTGCCATTGTGTGTGCTGACTCCAGCCCCATTTAGCTATCAGAGAAGGGACTGAGGCGCCTGATGACCTGGAGGTGGCAGAGATTACAGATGACCCACCTGCTCCTGCAGGCATAGCAGGAACCTCTCTCTTGCTGCAGCTGCCACCCATGGAACCCCATCCCAGCAAACATGACCCTGACATGATGTGTCCCYCCTTGTGCAAACAAGTCTGGTGGTTTCTCTTCTGGCTGTTCTCTCCTGCTCCACAGCTCCTGGACCTACTYTCTGCCCAGAAGTGGTGCACTCTGTCCTGCACTCTGTGCTTCACCTTCTTCAGGTGCAAAGGGCATGGCTGAGCATGAAAGAGCAGCTGTGGACATCTCTCAGTGTGGAAAGTGCTCACAGCACAGACAGACTCCCTCTTTGGAAAGCTGAGAACTGAGTTTGTGAGTGATGCTGCACAGAGTAGCATCAACAATCATGGAAGTGTGGAATAGTTTGGGTGGGAAGGGAACTCAAAGCACATCTTGTTCCCCAGCCCACAGCAGGGACACCTTCCACTATCCTGGGGTGCTCCAAGCCCCAATGTTCAGCCTGACCTTGGACACTGCCAGGGATCCAGGGGCAGCCACAGCTGCTCTGGGCACCCTGTGCCAGGGCCTCCCCACCCTCCCAGGGAACAATTCCTTCCCAATATCCCATCCATCCCTGCCCTCTGGCACTGGGAAGCCATTCCCTGTGTCCTGTCCTTCCATCCCTTGTTCCCAGTCCCTCTCCAGCTCTCTTGGAACCCCTTTAGGCTCCAAGTTCCTCCTGGAGCCTTCTCTTCTCCAGGTGAACACCTCCCAGCTCTCCCAGCCTGATTCTAGAGCAGAAGTGCTCCAGCCCTTGGAGCATCTCTCTGGTCTCCTTTGGGCTCATTCCAGCAGCTCTAAATCCTTCTGGTGTTGGGGACACCAGAGCTGGAGGCAGCACTGCAACTGAGCAAGGCAGAGGGGCAGAATCTCCACTTACCTGCTGCCCACACTGCTGGGGATGAGTTCAGAATACAGGGAGTTCCTGGGCTCTCAGTGCTCATGGCTGGGGCATGTTCAGCCTTGATCATGCAACACTTTTCCCTCCTGAGGGTAGTTTTAATCAAGAAGGGATTAATTGTCCAGGTTCAGTAGAGCTCAGGCTGATCTTTGTCAGGGTGCTTTTGTCACAAGACCCTCAGAGAGATGCCACAGGTCCAGATCAGCTCACCTTGCCTACAGAACACTTCACAACCTGTGTCAAACCATCAGAGAGAGAAATTTCCCTTCTCAGGGCATTACCAAAAGGCTTTTCTTCAAATGGGAGAGACCGTTTTGTCCTACTCTGCTTAGAAAACTCTGGAAAAAGGTGAAGAGCTCATCGGGTGGGGAGAAGCAGCAATTGCAGGAAGCCATGGGGAGGAGTGGGTGTGAAGAGCCAGCCCCAGGGCCGAGGCTGCGGAGCTCACGGTACCTGGCCGTGCACGGAGAGGTCGAAGCGGATCCCGTAGAGCTTCAGCAGGTTGCGGTAGAGCTGCCGCTGCGAGCCCCAGTAGTAGGAGGCAGTTCTGTGAGAGACACTGGGCACGGCTCAGAGAGCTATGGCAGTTGCACGCAGGCACAGAGGGGAGGGGATGCCAGTGCCAAAAGATTGCTGGGCCTGTGCACACCCGGTGTCCTCCAGGCTGGGACCTGGCCTTACGCTTGCTGACACCGACAGCGGGGCATCACCACCCCCTCAGCACCCAGCCCYGGTCACTGGGAGCCTGCAGTGTGCCCAGTTTAGGTGGGGACACTCACAGCTCCCTGCCCTCAGGCAGGCAATGCCCCGCTCARCTCCAAACACAGCAGAGCTACAAGGTGTGGGCACTGTCGCAGCACCCCCGCACTGACAGGCCCTGCCCCAAATTAYCACTCCCCGTTGCCTTGGAATCACAGAATCTCTGCAAAAGGCCTCTGAGGTCATTTAAGTCCAACCAATTAACCCAGCACTAACCCATGTCCCCAGGCACCACATCTACACAGCTTTTAAGGCACTGGAGTGGGGACTCCACCACTGTCCTGGGCAGCTGTGCCAGGGCTARACAAACATTTCACTGAAAAGATTTTCTCTAATATCCAATCTAAACACTTCCTCAGTGCAACTTGAGGCCATTCCCTCTCCTCCTGTCCCTGTTCCCTGGAGCAGAGCCCGACCCTCCCGGCTGTCCCCTCCTGTCAGGGAGTTGTGCAGAGCCACAAGGTCCCCCCGGAGCCTCCTTTGCTCCAGGCTGAGCCCCTTTCCAGCTCCCTCAGCTGCTCCTGGGCTCCAGCCCTCTGTTCCCTGCCCTGGACATGCTCCAGCCCCTCCAGGGMTCTTTTGTCTTGAGGGCTCCAAATCTGTCCCCGGGACTGGAGTTGTCCCASTGGTGCCAGC